GGGGGGGGGGGGTAAATAACCCCAATAACCCCCCTAGTATGGCCGCCACTGTTGATAACTGTAACCTGTTTATCTTCTTTGAAAGAACTTATATTGGTTAGAATGATCAGTATCATAAATTCATTCAGGAGAAAACGTAACATTATATCTGTCCTTTTTCAATGTAGATGATTAAAATTATATATGTATTTTAATGCTTTTTTTTCAGAAATTTATAAACGATTATTTCTTGCAATTATCAGTAATTAAACAAGGCACTTAACAAATTTTCTTTCATGGCGCGATCCGCGCACACATGAAAAGAATTGATTAACATATTGATAAAATATAAGTTGTTGAAAGTATAAATTTTTTAAAAACACAAGAAAGCAGACGATTTGAATTGATCACAGCCAAATCTGCATGCTACAACTGAAAATTTCCCTAATTCTTCGACACCAAACCCAATTAATATATATACCGCTTTTATTGAAAAAAAAATTCTAATGGGGGGGGCCCGTCCCCCCCCCTATTCCCCCCCCCCCGGCCCAGACATTACAAAATAATGTTTTGCCCCCCCCCTAGTAAAAGCGCTAAATGCGCCTCTGAAGCCCTCTAAAATTTGCGTAAAGTCGTGCATGCACTCCGTGCATGAATTATACGTCTCTCGACATGAGTCATGACTCATGAAGTAGAGCCAAAATCTAGACGCAATTATTTACGTAAAATTGCCAAAATGTAAAGAGGCCTTAGTATTTTAGGTTTTCGGGTTAGTATAAGGGTGTGATTTAAGCGGTGGCTTCTCTGGTATTTAATGCTTTTTGAATAACCCTGCATAAATACCGTCTCGGGCTGCTTGGCCTCCACTTTGGTCAGACCGGGCCGAAGCGTCCAGGCTAGCGCCATGCTTAAGGCTCACCAGCCACCGGCCGGTACGGAAAGTCGGCTTTCTCGACCCGGCCCCTATTGAACCTCTATACCCTCTATGCCCTCTACACTAGTTTCCTCATCAGTCGGTCCGGGACAAATTGCTCCAAACCAAGAGTTTGCCAGCCCGTGCCGGGACATGTCCTAAACAAGCTCAAGCTGGAGAAAGAATTGAGAGAGTCTAGAGAGTAGAGAGAGAGAATTAGAATTGAGAAAAATTTAGTGCAGGCCGGACCGCCCTCGTGGGCACAAGAAAGGCATGTGTTTGTACTTTTCAAGTTTTCTATAAATTTCAATGTTTTGTCATAGATCCTACCAACTGTGCCTGTAAGCAAACCATGCATGAGTTTATTTTATAATTTTAATTAAAAGTCCAGCGTGACATGGAGAATTACAGAAGTTAGAAAGATAAGACAAGAAGCCGGGTTTTACACTCCCATGTAGAGGAGAGAAGTGCAAGGCAGGTAGACTCCGTGAATTTCATCATTCTGCGTACACAGATTGATTTCATCATGCCCAATGTGTACTTAGAATATTAGCAATAGATTTGTATTTATGTTTAGACAGTGACATGACTCTGACACCAGTACTAAGGTGTATAGAAATAAACGTTTATCAATCAATCTAAATAATTTCTCAATATAGTTCTAGTTTATATTTAATAGCGTACAAATTACAAAAGCAGCACGATCTTAGTTCATACAATTCGCTTTTATTAGATTAAAGTATACTTTAAGTTGATAAGATTCTTCAACCCTACTAATTTCCTTGAACCCGATTGGTGGCCCCTCCCCTTGTCCCCCTCCTCTTATAAGTTTTGTATATGTAAATTTCTTGTAATACATGGACTCCATGGACAAAGTCAAACATGGCCGCAGCGTCGGCCCCCTATCCTCTGTGCTTGTCATTGTCGCATGAGCGCTTGACCCAGAAACGTATTACCCTAACCTAGCCCTAAAATAATATAAAATAAATATTAGAATTTTACAAAATGAATAGTTTTGCTGTAATACGGGTCCCTCCTAGTGCTAGACTATGGGTATCGTAATATACTTCTAACAATAGTGCTCTGAACTTTTAAAATTATGCATCAGTTGCAACATTGTCAAATTATTGAATCCTGAACGACAGTTTTAAGTAAAAGAAGATAGGTAATTTCCTTGTTTACGATTTTGGGACCCCGCGCCTCGTCTCTCCATCCTATAATTTTTGTGCACAGCATTTTAGGGTATATTTGGGGCCATGGTTCCGCAGCATTCTGCTCTCTAGTATATTTATTCCGCTGCGCTAGGCCCCCTAGACTGTCCTAGCCGCAGCGCTCGGCCAAGAAATTGTCTTAACCTAACCTAACCCTGCAATAATTTAAGATTTGTTTGAAATTGAAGGCCGCTGCGAAGGGCCAAGAAATTTACAAAACCCTGAAATAATTCAAAAAAGTAATAATTTGTTTAAATTAGATGAAATCTAGGTCTTACAAAAATCTTATTCCAAGACTGAATCAAAGAAATGACGCCGCTAACTCTACACTTTCCTGGTTTTCATTTAAGTTATTCATTTTTTCATGTGTATTTCAGCAAATAAAATGGACGAAGAGGAAAAGAAGAAGATAAGACGTCTGGTAGAAGATCTAGTCTGCTCTACAGATCTTCAATTGGACCAGCAGAAGATGAAAAGCTTGAAATCAAAATGTAAAATCAGCGACGATTTTCTCTCTGAAGTACATCAGCAATTGTTCCGAAATTTGGCAAAGAAAAATTCAGATATTCGAATTTTATGTCTAGATATCCTGGATGAACTGTTTTCTAGATCACACTACTTCAGGACTCTAGTTCTAGAATCCTTTGATTCGATTACGTTGCTCTGTGTTGGAGTTGATAGTTTAAACCCTCTACCTTTACCAGCTGCAGCGGCTAAAAAACTTCAATCCAATGCAATCAGAATTATAAATGGTAGGAATACATTTAATACAAAAATAATAATTTTAGTAAATCATCTATGTGCTTTTTTAAAATTGAAAAGTTATCAATATGGAGAGCGGTTTTTTTAACAGTTTATGTGGAAACCAATCACCCCCCTCCCCTTGAAACCTATTCACGAGAGAAAATGGAATAAATGAAAAAAGTTTCATATTTATATTTCTGTATAGATCGCGCTCAAAAATGCATCTGTAAAGGCCAATTCTGTAAACTATGAACTTGATTTCTTTTCACTTATATTAATAAATATACCAGAAATGCGATCGGTCTCTACAATTCTAATTTTAACGCGTCTTGGTCTATAATTCAAATTTTTTCATTTCAATTGCATGCGCCAACAAAAAGTAGAAGTAAATTATTACAATTTATGTTGAACTAGGCTTTCATGTCTTCTAATTTAAGTTATAATTAGGCTTTTTCTGTGAGCATCTTCTCTTTTGTATATTATAAAACAATGATAAAAAAATTCGCGGATTAATTTATACTTTTTCATGGATTTTTAAAATGTTAAAAAAATCGAAGTTTTTTCTGACAAAGTTTTGTTATTTTAAAGACATGTTCCTTGTTAATATTATTTTCCTTGCATTTTCTTTGTATTCATTTTATTAATTTGACTAGGATGGATGTCTAAGTATGGTGGAGGGTATACTAAACTGAAAGTTTGCTACGAAGCTTTAAAACGAAAAGTAAACTTTAATTCCCTGACATTAATCAACGATGCTGAGGAAACTGCTCGGAGAAAGGTAGGATGCATAAAGGGACGGATAACGTGACTTTCAGTCATCTTCAAATTTAAAGATTTACCATCCTGATTCACAACGGTACCCTTTTATTCTGATGAGTAAAAATATCGTTGTTAATTTCCTTATGATATTTGTTACCTTTTCAAAGCGGGTATTGCACCTTTTATAATGGAGAATTAATTAAAAACACGTCACCGGTCATTGTTAAAGAGCAAATAATTTGTAATACTTGTTGAAAACGAACTTTTGAATAAGAAGCGAGTTGACATCACTAAAATTTGTCTTTACAGAATTTTTAAGAATTCATAGAATGGGGGTTATTTTGTTTCAGGAAAGGGAAAGAACGGAAGCAATCTGGAGAACTAGGCTACTGCAGGTTGAGAAAGAAGTTCAAGAAAATCAGGTAAACATCTTGGCTTCACCTAAACCGTTGTCAGATACCAACCAACCAATGGATTTAATCGGTTTGCCAACCACCAGAAGTATCTCCTTGACTCCCCCGGCTTGGGAAAAGCTAGTGGGGGGTTAAAGGCCCGGCATTGGAACAGGTGTGGGATAATGCTTTGCACACCTGGCGGCGGTTTGGGGTATGCACATTGGGATCTCTTGCAAGTTCCATTTCTTTATGTTCTTTATGTGCTGTATTTTAAGTCCTTTTCTCTTTTATTCTTTCTTTAGCTCTCTTTAGTTTATTTGTTACTCTAATGGACTGTAAGGGTAATTGCAAGTGACCTTCCATTACAAGATGTTAATGTCCGATTCACAACAGTACCCTTAAAACCTTTTTTTTGTAAACCCCTTTAAAAGTAAAATATGCGGTAATGTTAAGTTACACAAGTAGCGCATCAGCTGTATTATTCATTTATTTTAAGGTCAAGCATTACACAGCGTACACCGCGTCTTACAGGGAATTAAGTAGTTTTCAACATGTTTAACCAAAGAGCTTTTTGTTGTTTTGTTACTTGTTGAACAATCAAAGGTTTAAAGGGTAAAATTGTGAATCCCTCTTTTCATGGAGGGTCACTTTAAGGTGTATTTATTGTTTCATTACTTTATGTTATCATTATTACTTTGAATTATTCATGTTCTTCCCAAGGAATATTACAGGAACGTCCATAAAATTAAATATACTAAAGTTCCTTTCAAAACTTCAGTACACATTTTTTTAAAAGCTTTACTCTTATGCTGATCCCTTCCTGTTTCTCGTACATTTATATTTTTAGTTTAACCAATCCTTTGTTTATTTGCAAGTTCTTTTTGTTTCATTAATAACTTAATTTTTTACAATCTCTTTTTGTTTTTTAAATGAAAGTTTTTTAACAAGTGATTATTATGTAGGAAACAATAGATTCCACTATTGTTGAGTCCAAGAACTGTATAGAGTTGTGGAAAACTAGTGGAAACTGTGTTGAACTCACAAATCCAGTTGTAGCAGCTGTAGCAGACCAGTTCAATATACTGGATAGGAGATTACTCCCACTCAGGTAGCAGACCAGTTCAATATACTAGATAGGAGATTACTCCCACTCAGGTAGCAGACCATTTCAATATACTGGATAGGAGATTACTCCTACTCAGGTAGGAGTAGATCAGTTCAATATACTAGATAGGAGATTACTCCCACTCAGGTAGGAGCAGACCATTTCAATATTCTGGATAGGAGATTACTCCCACTCAGGTAGCAGATCAGTTTAATATACTGGATAGAAGATTACTCCCACTCAGGTAGCAGATCAGTTCAATATACTGGATAGGAGATTACTCCCACTCAGGTAGGAGCAGACCAGTTCAATATACTACATAGAAGATTACTCCCACTCAGGTAGGAGCAGACCATTTCAATATACTGGATAGGAGATTACTCCCACTCAGGTAGGAGTAGACCAGTTCAATATACTAGTTAGAAGATTACTCCCACTCAGGTAGCAGACCATTTCAATATACTGGATAGGAAATTACTCCCACTCAGGTAGGAGCAGACCAGTTCAATATACTAGATAGAAGATTACTCCCACTCAGGTAGCAGATCAGTTCAATATTCTGGATAGAAGATTACTCTTACTCAGGTAGCAGATCAGTACAAAATACTTAAATATATTTTGTGCTTCGATTGTTTGGTTTTTGTTTTAAAGATATATGAAAACTTGTAATCTAATTCTTTTTGAGATTAAGGTATAAGGAAAAATAAGGGGTTTAAGAAACGTATTTTTCTGACTGCTGAAAAATATTTGAATTTTTTTTGTTTTTTAGCAAGAAGTGGACTGATACATTAACGAAGGCTGGAAATCTAACCAATCATCAGCTGTTGAGGTAAATCCCTGAAATGAAATTATAAAAAGAAAATACTAAAGATATTACCCTGGATATAGTGAGCACAGATAAATAGACCTTGCATTGTTTTAATAAACATTTTTTTCTAATTGTTTGAAGTACAACTTATAATCTTTCAAACGAATCTAATTTATCTAATCGATTATTTTTCTTTAGAAATTGTGTAGAACTAAAGAACAGATTAGATAAGCTGGTCACAGAGATGAAATCATTTGGAATACAATTTCATCAGAAACGGGACAAACATACAATAGAAAAAAAGGTTAAAATTTATCCTTAAAAAATATAATTTTACAACGATAAAATTGAAAAATTGGACATCAAAGGGCAAGTTAATACTTTTCTTCATGCTTTATTTATTTTTCTTTAAAATTTATTTATTTTCCAAAATTCAGCGAAATGTTACCCCAAAAAATGCGACTTCTAGGGAAAAAAGAGATTTTTTAAGGGGGGGGGAAATGATTTTCAGGAAAAATACCCCCCTGCATGAATATTAAAGATTAACTAATTTGTTACTACCATCCTAGATTGAGGTTTCTGGTCTTTTTGAAGATCCGACAACCTGGGCTGCGTCGGTTGTAAGGTTGCAGACTACAAACAAAACTGATCTACCAAGCACAATTACTAGCATGGCTCTCAACCAAACCTTCCTACAGGAAAAACGTCCAAGCTCCAATCCCTCTGATGGGATTAAAACATTCTCAGCTCCCAAAGATCCGTCCGGCTCCAAAAAATTCCCATCTCAACCAAGTTGTTCTAAAACCGTTTCATCCGTTTCTGATATACCTGAACCTTACAGTTCAGAACTTAATTCTGAACCTATTTCTTCTCCGTCCCAATCTTGTAGCTCCAAATCTGAACCTTGCAGCTCTGCAATCCACCCTTGCAACTTGAATCCTAGCTCTGCGTCCCAACCCTGTGGCTCTAATGAAATCTGTTCACAACCTGACCGAACCACGTCTAGTTCTCCTAGTTTCCGCAGTATATTTGATATCCCTGGAGAAAGAATACCAAAACTTAAACTCTCAGGGATTAAGACAAGAAACGTCTGAAAATAAATACAATTTTGCTTAATTTTTATCAGATAATTTTTACAATCCATAATCAAAATCAAACCAGGGATGGTGTATTTTCACAAGAAATCAGTTACTACTTTTTACCTCCAGAAGTTATGTACGTTTGCGCAGGGCGAAATTTTTTTTATGGTTTAATTCGCTCAATTAAGGAAAATAAATGAGGGGAGATGAAAGAAATTTTTGGGTAAAAGAATGAAAAATGATGAAGAAAAAATTTGCTTTTTTAAGTCCAATTTTTCATTTTTCCCTCACAAATGATCACAAAGCATTTAACCTCCCCCCCCCCCCTCAAAATTCTAAAACCCTAGAAAATATACACCCCTGCAACAAACCGAAAAACAAAAGCTTTTTCTGTAATGATATAATATGGTTTGATACAGCTACTGCGTTGCGTAACCTTGGGATTTGTTTTTACTCTGTTCTTCATCAACTCGTCAGGGCAATGCCGATTAGAAAGTCAGATTTGAACCAGTTTGGAATTTTAATTAAAATGGCATCTCGACTTGTTCAATGTTTAAAGTAGTCTTTAAACTTGTTTAAAATAATTATAAATGTAAGACTCTTTCAAAGAATATTTAAATGCTAGCAAGATTTTACGAACTTGTCTTGCTACATGTAGAACTATTGACTGAGGATAGGATGGTGGTTGATCAGGAGAAGAGCAGTCTCTGGTTAAACGGAGAGAGGGAGGGTGACTGTGTCGTTGTCAACCCTGGCATCCGTAGAGTTGTTGATTTCAGGTTATTTCGTACTTAAAAACCCTCATATCTTGCAAAAAAATGTTTTGCTGTTTCTAGAAGGATTAGAAAAAATTATGCCCGAGCAGCAGACCTCAAACAAAGGCTTAGGGGTTTAACGTTTCCTTGCATATAAATAAAAGTAGGGCTGGGGTAATAATTTGTTGACATATAAACTAGAAAGTGTACTGCACTTTCTGGTAGAAATTTTTAAAACTTGTCTGAGCAGCACACCGTAAACAGCGACTTAAAGGTTCCGGTGTTTTTCTTTCCAGAACAGGAAAAGGGTTTAACATTATTTTATATAGAAAAGTGTGCTAAAAGAATATGTAAACAAAACTATGTCTGACAAGCATACCATAAACAAAGGCATGTGGGTTTCGAATGTTTCTTTTCCAAAAATTATAGTGTTTTCATGTTCAATGCAGTGACCGAATTTAATGTTTATGTATTGAAGAAAATTAGAATATTCATGATTTAAGATTTGAACAGTGACCTACTTCAAAGTTGTTAGATTCACTCCCTTGAAAGAATATCTAACTAAAGATATGACTCTTGATTCTTATTTAGTGGTAAGTTTGAACCAGTAACTCGTGCCTGCCGTGCCCCTCTAGAAAATGGATCGTTGTGTCCACGAATGGATCGATTTAAGTGTCCTTTTCATGGTCCTATCATCACACGTGATGCCCAAGGAGCTGCTGTAGGGTTTAGTTTGAACCCTGAGGGTCCCTTAGCTCACAAGGATCTTCGTATACCTGGACTTGGATCTAAGAAAAAGAAATCTCCAAAAAAGTTGAAAAGTGAAGCAACAAGGCAAGGGTCTACAACTAAAAACGTAATGTTTTTCATTAAAAAAATCTTGTTTTAGTTTTTTTTTCTGCTTAACAAATCTTTTGTAGAAACGAATAGATTTTTTGTTTTTGTGTCTCCCTTTGAAAATTTAATGTTTTTTTTTCTCTATAAGAAATAATCATATTTTTTCAGCCGAACGTTGTACATCTTATACTTTTTGATCTTGCCGAATTCATCGAAGATTTCCACCTCAGAATTAGAAATATACAGGGATTAAAGGGACTCTGCACGTATTTTCAAGTAACTCTTTATTTCTCATGATGCCCGATTCACAGTTACCCTGAAAAGTTATGTTATGATCAAGTATGAATTATATATATTCCATTTTATTAATCAGAACAAGAATTCAAGGGTACCGTTGTGCATCGGGCATCGCCAGCTTTGCTGGGCCCTTTAAACCCCTCTAAATTACGATCAAGAGAGTTTGAAACGAGCATCCAGTTCATACTTAAAATATAACGATTTATTGACCCTTGAACTAGGACGGACAGCTCCAGGTCTAGGTTAGAGCAGAAGGTTTTCAGCAAGAACGCCGTGAAGCGTGTATCCCGTCGCCTTGATGCTATTGACGCTAAACGAACCAAATCTCTGTTTGGGGAACAATTTAATTATTCAATGTGAATCCGGAAAACTCAAACTTTGTCCACGCCAGACCTCTAATAGTACAATTTATAAAATTTGACTGGAAGGGCCGGGAGCGGATTATTGTTTATTATTATTAGCAATCAACCCACAGACAAAGTACCATGACCTGTAGGCTATAATACACAGAAAACAGGGTTCTCTTATTTTAAATGTGAACTACCGGGAGTTACTCTCCGATTATATCTCTTGAACCTCTTGAGAAAATTGTATTGGGGAACTCGATAGAACCACAAATATTAAAAAGTCGACTTTCCAGGCAACGCTGGGTTCCCAAGCTATTAAAATGATAAAAACAAATTAAGTTCTCAATAAAGTACTATTTCTCTTTAATTTGTGATTTTTGTCCCTTATATGTGTAAATTATATTGTGATATGACTTAGAATTTATCTTATCTGTGATATTTGATACTTGCACTCATATTATTTATAAATATAAACTCTGGATTTCAGATAGATAAATGGTAGTGGACTGAGTCACAGAAACAGAATGCACGTGATGACGAAGGTATGAGAGTAGAAATTTTTTTAAACTCTTTATTTATCATAACTTATTAAAGTTTAGAAATACATTGATAACCAAAAAACTCGGAATTGTGAAAACAATTTTCAGACTGAAGATATGACTAAGTATGGTACGCAGCAATTGTACAGTTCAAACAGACCCAATTCACTTAATTAGTGATTTAATAAGTCTAGTAAAACTATTTGTAACACCATCAAGTACACTTAACTGTTACCACAAAGTCGTCTTTTCAGAGTTCTGGTTATCATTGTACTAAAAGTCGTGATAAAAGTTTCGAACAACTAACTTACTCGTAATAAGTAAAGAAATACTAAATGCTTTGAATATATTTAGAACTATTAAAACTCGGTTGTATTATAGTTTAAACTTCTTAAACTCATTGTATTAAAGTTCAAGACTACTTAAACTCGGTTGTATTATAGTTTAAAACTCGCTGTATTATAGTTTATAACTATTTAAACTAGTTGTATTATAGTTTAACGACTTTTTAAACTCGCCGAATTAAAGTTTTAATCTCGTTGTATTATAGTTTAAAACTACTTAAACTTGTTGTATTATAGTTTAAAACTCCTTAAACTCGTTGTATTATAGTTTAAAGTACTTAAATTCTTTGTATTAAAGTTTTAAAACTACTTGAACTCGTTGTATTAAAGTTTTAAAACTACTTGAAATCGTTGTATTATAGTTTTTAAACTTCTTAAACTCGTTGTACTATAGTTCTAAAACTACTTGAACTCGTTGTATTATAGTTTTAAAACTTATTAAACTCGTTGGATTATAGCTTAAATCTACTTAAACTCGGTTGTATTAAAGTTTAAGAAAACTTAAATTCGTTGTATTTTAGTTTAAAACTACTTAAACTCGTTGTATTAAAGTTTTTAAAACTTCTTAAACTCGTTGTATTATAGTTTAAAACTACTTAAACTCGTTGTATTAAAAGTTTTTAAAACTTCTTAAACTCGTTGTTTATTAAAGGTTTAAAACTACTTAAACTCATTGTATTATAGTTTAAAACTACTTAAATTCTTTGTATTAATGTTTTAAAAATACTTAATCTCGTCTTTTTAAAGTTTTAGAACTACTTAAACTGGTAATAAGTATAGAAATACTAAAATTCTTTGAATTTAGAACTTTAATAAAACTCGTATTTAAGTTTTAAAAAGCTTGTAAACTTTGTAAAAAAAACTAAAAATAATTTAGCTTGTTTTGAAGTTTCTCTTGAGTCTATTCATGAATTGTATGAAATAAACTTACGACTTTTAGAGATTGTAAAGGTAGTTTCCCGTGTTCCGGTTCTAAACGATATTCTAATAGCTTTGTCGGATCAAGTTTGAATTTAATATCATTGTTTTTGATTTTGAAAACTGATTTATCTATTGTGGTTTCTCCTGTAAACAATGCGAAATTATCAGATTAAGTTTTCAAGGGTACGGTTGTAAATCGAGCATACACTTCTTTTTTAAATGTAGGGCCTATTCAAATTATTCCGACAGTCCCTTTAATATAAACGTTTTTTAAAATCCATATTTTTTGTTAAGGGCAAGATTAAGCTTGGGCGTGAAACCCTCACTAACGAGAAACATTTTACCAGTCTCAGCAAAACCTTCTCCGACGCATTCGTTACCGGCAAGTTCTGCGATGTAAAGGTTGTCTGTCAGGTAAGAGCTGGGGTCCATATAATTCCACCCATTACGATCCCAAATGTAGATTGATTGATATTAGGGTCATTGCGAAATATTTGGAAGTATAATGTTAAGATGTAGAAAAATTCCACACTGCAAGCTGCGTACTGCAAGGGGTGTCTTTATTTCATTGTATATGATAATTTATCTGTTATATTGATCACTGATATTCACATCTTTAAACGCCCCAAATGCAGTAAACATTTCTAAACCGTAGAACATGTACACAAAAAGTTCAAAACGACACAGAAAATGTATTTTCATGCATCTAAATGTACTTTCAACCCTGATCCCATTTGGGATCAAAAATTAAATTATATGAAGTATGGACCCCGTTCCCTAGTCACAAAGAGAAAACATTCAGTCCCCTTTTACTCGAATTATCGATATCAGTTTTCCACGAAGATAATTTCCAGTCTTTCTCATCCACTCCGTGCCCAATAATGGTTTTTTTTTCTTAATTTCTTTTACGCTTTTTTCTTTACTATTGCTTATCGTTATGCTAAAGATAGATTGGCCATCTTTTTAATCTGGGAAATAAGACATTCATTTATTTTTTTAGTTGATGGATTACAATAACAGGTGGTCTTATTTAATCTAGGAGTTAAAAATATATATGTTAGGGTGACAAATGAAGGGGGTTAAATTTTTTTTGGGGTGCATTGGTTCTTTGTGTGATTGGCCCAGTATGAGCATTTTGTGAACATCTGAGGTTGATCGTAGCATTGCATCAGGTGTCAGTCGTTGTCGGTATCGGTTTTTCGGCAAAGCCTTGATTTTTGATGTAGGTCATTGACCTCCGATCCCAAATTTTCTTTGTGAACCGGTCAGATGACCAAAATTGGAGACAATATGCAAAATTTAAGCCTTGTATCTCGATTTTTATAACTAAATGAAGCCTGTTTAAAATTTGGTGTCATAAAGTGTCAAATTACCATCATATCCTTGACAAAAATCGCGATTTTTTATTGACACTGCTACTTCCACCTAAATTCAACAAGTTAGAGCAATTTTTTGCATTTCATTACTAAGGGTTGACATCACCCCTAGAATAAATGCACCTCTTGATTTTCTGACTTGTCAATTTTTCTGTGTCCACCTGATATTTTATTATAAGAGGTTTTACTGAAACCTGGGCAACTGATTGCACCCTCACCTGTCGCTTCAATAACTGAACAATTCCTTTATTTATTTTATTTTAGGATTCGAACCTATGGGCCCACCGTGTAGTTCTGAGCACAGTTTCCCCTTTTCTACGAAACCTGTTGGTAGAGTTTGAGAGAAGAGGAGATGATGTTATCACAATCTTTCTCCCGCTTATAAAGGTTTTAATAATTTTTTTTGTTTCACAAAAAAGTTTGAATACTAAGTAATAATTGTAATTATTTGGCTATTAGGACTGTAAATAAGATAAGTATCAAATTTATCGTTACTTATAACATAAGATTAATCAATTTAATTAATTTAGTGTTTTACAGTAAATGATATCTCATCTATGGCTTCTTAGTCAGAGATTTAAAGTATGTCGTTGTTAAGTGTGAATGACAAGTTTTAAACGAAATATCATTAGAAATATCACTGGGTTTTTCATTCTTCTGTCAAGTTAGATTTGCGTCAAGACAAACGATTGTTTTTTAGGGTTATCATATGAAACTGGTTCTAGACTATATATACAGTGGTGCTATGTACCTCTGCGGAGCACATCTGCAGTACGTTATACAGGTATTATTTGAGCTCGGTATTAATGTATAGTATGAAGAAGTTGAACTAGATAGTAGGTAGGGATAGTTAAACTACTTTTCGTTTCGCCCTAGATCATAACAAAATTTTGAAAAGGATTTATTTTATAATCTAGGGTTAATTACCTTCCCAACATTTGCCGCCTTGGATTCGGATACGTTTAAAAGATTAAACTCCGGATCCGCAGATCCGGATTTACGGAATAAATAAATCATCTTAAAAGAACTTAAAATTTAGACATTAATAAAGTAGTGGAAAACAGAAGATAAAATTCGGAAATCTTTTCTTATTTGAAAAGAAATTTGTAAAATTATAAAAGTATATTAATGATCCGAATCAAAATTAAATTGTCGAAAGTATATGTTGGTCTAATGAATGATCTTATTATTTTAGGTGATGGAGGTTCTACAGTTGAAGTGCGGTGTGTCCGTGAACAAGATGGTGAGGAACCAGGGTAGTGCCACGGATCTGGATTGGATAGAGGTAGGAGGAACATTATCTCATTCAACGAACCGGTGCACAGTGGTCCAGCAACTTGCGAAACCTACCTTTTTTACTTTCATTTTTACACATTTTTTCCACTGTTATTGATTTAATAAATTCTAATTGGCAGGAATATGCGTTTAGGATTTAAAAATTTTGTTCAACATTTTTAAAATTACTTTATGCATCAATTTGTGAACATTTAAAGAGTATGTTGAAGAGGTTTGATATAAATTCAATTAAAACTCGGTCTATTTTATTCATTTTAAAGCATTCTCTTGAAAAAAGCAGATTTTCTATGCATTTCAATAAACCCAAACCTATGGCAAAATTCGATGTTGGTATAATAGAAAAAGTTTATGGTCATTGAAACAGTGCAGGTTCAAATAGACATTTTTGAAAGATGAAACAGGTGTATTTATCTTTAAATGTTTCCACTAAATTTGTATCGCTTAAAAGGGGAAAACGGATAATTTTTTAACAAAATAAGTGAGAGAAAAAACTTTCTAGATGTCCCCACGTTTACATTTTTTCCCCCAAATCTTCGAAAATCATTTGCCCTTCCCATTACTAGTGTAAATATGACCATACTAATCATTTAAGAGAAATTCAAGACGTAAAATTTTTCAATGATTAAATTTCAAAAAGAAATATTGTTATCCAGGTTGAGCACAGCACTGTAAAGATTAAATCTAATATTCCCCCCTGTCTTCCTCCTGTTGATCCACAGACCCAGGCTAAACCAGCTCCAGAGAAATGTAAAAAAAGCAAACCTGAACCTGATCATGTTGATAAACACAAGACTAAAGAAGGGATTGAATGCGTAGACCTAGATGCGTCTGTTGACGAGAATGATTCTGTTGAATCTGCTGGAACTGCAAAACTTGAAAAATCAACTGACTCTGCTAAACCTAAAGAACCCTCTGAGCCTGCCAACCACGAGACTGTTGTTGATTCTGAAGTTTATGATGAGGAGGGAGTTACAGAGGTCACCGAGGTTACTGGAGAAAGCGAGGATGAAGATGAGGATGAAGGGAACGTGAAGAATACCGAAGAAACTCCAAATTTGGAACCAATCTCAGGTTCCCATTATTTATTATCTTGCGGGGGGGGGGGCTGAGGGTTCAGGTTTCTCACCTTTTCTGGGAAAACTTGGAACACAAATTGGGCTCGTTGCTATAAATAAAAAATAACTAAGGAATCTGTTGCGTTTTCTTCCATCCCCAATTGTTCTTTTTTCAAATTTTGTTGCTTTTGATTTAACTACTTAATTAAATTCAGCCTATTTCCCTTTTTGTAAGAAGTGGCGACTGTACAGTTTACAATCTCCTGTTATAGAGGAACCTGTTGTTGTTGAAGTAGATGAAGAGTTTGCTGTAGATTCATTAACCAGCAGTCAAGCTGGTTCAAACAATGGGAAGAAGCATAAGTAAGTTTTAGAATCAATCGGGATTTTTTATGTTGAATATGTTGATTTGATTTGATTTGATTTGATTTGATTTGATTTGATTTGATTTGATTTGATTTGATTTGATTTGATTTGATTTGATTTGATTTGATTCGATTNGATTCGATTTGATTCGATTCGATTCGATTCGATTCGATTCGATTCGATTCGATTCGATTTGATTTGATTTGATTTGATTCGATTCGATTCCTAATTAAGGTTTTTTTTGACCCCATTTTATATAGTGGACTTTTTGGTTTTCTTATAAGAGTTCTCAAAATATATTTCGATAGAAATAAGGATATAAAATCCCTTTATCATTCTTATATGTGAGTGGTCTTAATATTTTCGGTATTAAACAGTGGTCTCTTCTTGAGCATAAAATTATCTACCGATTAATCTGAGTAACGCCACCCCCAAGCAGAAATATGTATCCAAGTGAGAAAATAGAAATAGTCTTGAAATGTATAGAACTAGAATATAAAAAAAAATTCCCCCTTTAAAGGGAGGTGATATTATTGTATTTTAAGAGTATTTATATGTGATTATTAACTATTATCACAACAATATTAATATTTTTCATAACTATAAAGTTCACCTATTGCTTAAATAGTCTAATTATTATGAATTAGTATGAATTTCAATTGGTTTTAACTACTTTAAATTTAAAAAAACACAATAAAACTCAAAAAACCAAAAAAAAATCCCACTGGGCTGTGTTAAAAAAAAACTTTTTTCCCAACCCTGCTGTATACTGTTAAAAATTTAATTGTTCTGTACGACTATGCATCAAACAGTTCTGTAATCTACTGCTATGCATTAAACTGTTCCTCACTATATTGTTATGCATTGAACTGTTCTTTACTGTCTGTTATGCATTTGACTGTTCTGCACTGTACTGTTAGGCATTAAGCTATATTTTACAATGTAAAGTGTACAATCACGTGAACAGTTTGTACTGTACGGTTATTTACTGTACTGTACGGTTGTTTACTGAACTGTACGGTTATTTACTGTACTGTACGGTTATTTACTGTACTGTACGGTTATTTACTGTACTGTACGGTTATTTACTGTACTGTACGGTTATTTACTGTACTGGTTATTTACTGTACTGGTTATTTACTGTACTGGTTATTTACTGGTTATTTACTGTACTGTACTGTACTGTACTGTACTGTACTGTACTGTACTGTACTGTACTGTACTGTACTGTACTTTACTGTACTGTACTGTACTCTACCGTACCGTACCGTACCGTACTGTACTGTACTGTACTGTACTGTACTGTACTGTACTGTACTGTACTGACTAAACATTAATTAGGTGTGCGCTGTGCGGGAGGTTGTTCAGATTCTACGAAAACCTTAGAATTCATCTAACCGGACATCTTGGAGTAAAGGTAAAAATCTATCAATCATGGTATGGATTTATTCCCGGTCTTAAATATAGTGTGTCAGGGCAGTGCTAAGGATCCATTTAATTTTGATCCAGATCCAGGTCATGAACATTTCATTAAGATTTACAGAAATTTTTTCGTAATTTTTTTGCAAAAACTTGATTAACCATTTAGAGTATAATCTCTTTTTTTTAACAGTTCAGATTTGGATTTTGAGAGCAAGAAGGTTTTTTTTCAGTTTTTGGTTTATATTTTGCCCCTTGGATCCTGATCTTTGTGTCCGCATATTTTTGCGGATCCGGATCCAGGTAGCCAAAATCTTGGGGATCCGGATCCTTCGCACTGTGGTGGAGTTTAAACTTAGTGAAAACAGATTTTGAGTTTATAAGGAAGAACCTAACATAAACTTTATCACATTTTTTTCGGAAAGAAATTTCCAATTATGTCAAATTGAAAAATTATAAATTTGAACCAAGTTATCCAAAATTAATTTTTTTCAATTTTAGGTTAGTTTGAGTCGATGTCACACTTGTCGCAGGAATTTTAAAAATCAGAACGAGCTGACTCTTCATCTTAAATCTCACAGGTTATTATTTTATTGCGTTGTATTTGATGGTTTTAATCTACAGAATGAGGGTTGTAAAGTCGGGAGATTATTCTTATTCTTATTCTTGTTCTTGTTCGTGTTCGTGTTCGTGTTCGTGTTCGTGTTCGTGTTCATCATGTTCGGATAATTTTGAAAAAGAAATGAATATTTTTTTTTACTAAAAGAACTATATTTTAAACAAACGTTTGAAGAAAACAAACGAAATAGATGTATAATACGATAATTTTGAGAAATAACGAATGATGAACGAAAGAAACGAAAAAACCACTAACTATTCTATCTCTAGTTGAAAAAGTAAAGATAAAAAAATTCGAGTTTGTTGCAAGTTTTCAGTTCCTTTATTGGATTTGTAAATTTTTTAAATCCTATGTACTTGTACTTGTACTTGTACTTGTACTTGTACTTGTACTTGTACTTGTTTGTGTTCGTGTTCGTGTTCTTGAGCTTTTGAAAATATTAAAATATTTATTTTTAGTTATGCCCGACATCTTGGAAAATACCGGTTGGCCAAGTCCGCCGCGGAGACTGCGAGAACAGAGGCCAAGATCATCACAACAGCCGGCGCTAAGGATAAAAAGATTTTGAGAAAATACACTAAAAAGCGGCAAAATATGTTGACGAGGCCAGATAAACAGCAGCAGGGTGAAACATCAGTAGTACTGGAGGCTGAAGATCCTGCTACCGAGGTTTCAGAGGACGAGAGTGATTCCACATCAAGGCCACGAGGTCGGTCCCAGAGGGTCGAGAAGATATGTTGCGAGATTTGTAGTAAAAAATTTGATTCCAAATATTTCTACTTAAGTCACATGGAGACGAAACATCGATCAACAAAAGAGGTATTTTATTCCCAATACTGACTTACTTTTTAAATTTATTTTTTGAGTTAATTAATTATCAAGTCCTACTCTTGGATCGGAAAAATTTGCATAAATCAGTATACTAACTAATTAAAATGGACAACATAGGTTTTCATAAATTGTAACATTTAACTAAGATATTTTTGATTTTGCAGGATACCGTAGTCAAGCAAGGACGGAAGAAATCTTCAGCCTCTGAGTCCACCTCTTCCAACGATAAGTCTCCTGGTTCCGTATCCTCGGAGAAAAGAGGAGGAGTCCTGAAACCTGTTCAAAGTAAAGGAGAAGTGGTCAGCTCGAATCCATACTCTCGCCAGTACTCAACCCCGACTAGGTATTATGGTATTTTTCTCACTTTCTTAAATTTTACTGCGTCTCAGAGGTTTTTTTAAATTCCCCCCACAAAAAAAAATTTACATCAAACGGTAATATTTTCATCCTTATGAATACTTTTTTACCAAATTTTTAATTACTTTTCCCAATTCTGTGAGTTTATAAATTTCGCGCTCCGCTTAAATAAACCTACCTAACTTCAGAGGGGATTTATGATTTTTAAAGATAATTTGCACCCCTGTCTTGTGTACTATACTGTCTACACTGATAAAAGAGTAACAGTTTTTTTAATCTAAACGTAAATTGCAAAGATTTTTGTTTTTAAATTTCCCTTTTTGACACTTTTTACTCCAAAAATCATGTATTATCCCTTTATTTTTTTTGGTAGATAAATTTTTTTATAGTGAGGGTGGAGAAAAATTTTTTTATACAAATGTACACCCCCGCGGCCTGCATTGGACAAAGGCTATAAAATTCTAAATGTTCTTCTTCAAAAAATTTTTTTTCAAGTTTTTAATTCACGCCCGTGCTCTTCGCTCATATATATAAACATTAATTATGTTGGCTATAGCTGCCCCAACAGATAGACCAAATTGGCTTAAATTTTTTGAGGGAACCCATGGGCTAAAAATAGAAATTTTAAAAAAATAATTATTTTTTTCATATTCAAAAATTTTGATATTTCACGGGCAACGCCGGGCAGCCCATCTAGTCTTATCTAACCCTTTGAAAAGGTATATTTACTAACTGTTATCTCTCAGGAAGCGAGATACTTCTGACTCGGATATGTCTCCAGCTCCTGTCTCGAAGAAACGAAGAGAATCATTTCCTGGTATTAAACCAGCACAAAGCACACCCGAGAGGTCAGTTCTAGAATATAAAATCTTTGTATGTTAGATTTTTTGTGTGTTTCTTTTTTGTTAGTAGGTCCGATCATAACTAATGGATCCCTTGATCGATCACCGATTTATATCTTGATAGAAACTCTTACTTTGACCGTATGTTAGTTTGCTGATAAATCCTGATGTTTAGGTTGACCGCTAAGAGTCTGCAGTGTCCGGACTGTGACCGTGTTTTTGTTGCAAGCTCTATATTAGAGCGTCATCTCTTCACAGCCAAGCATGGAGGTTGGTCGACTTTAACAATATTTTGCTTACTTAGATACTGTGATAACCAAAATTAAAGTGAAGTAAAGTCGTCTTTTTTGTAGCCTTTGATAAGACTTTTTTAAAATATGTTAATGTCATGTTTTGTATATAATATATCCTATTAAACTTGAGGGAAATTTCTTTGTTTTCTTTAATATTTCGTTTAAACTGGTTCTCACTGGAAAGTTTAATCTAATGTTTAGATTTTGCTGCTTATTACTTGTCACAATTCTTGGCCATTTACTATTATCATTGTTTAATAATCAACCTTTATCTATAAATATACTTTGCTTGTCTGTCTGTTTTTTTGTCTGTCTATTTGTATCCAATAAACGTCAAAACGGCTGAATCGATCGGGCCCAAATTTTGTGTGGGACTTCACCTGACCCCAGGAAAGTTTTATGAATTATCAAACTTTCGAAAATTAGCCTCCAACAAAATTCGAATTTTATTTAATTTTAAAAATTCAAGGATTTTTTATTATCTAGTAACTTTTTTGTTTTTGTTTTACAATGTATTAAAAGAAAAAAAATCATAATTGAAATAGAAGATGCCTAGTTTATTAGAATTTTATTGGATCAATGTTTTAGTGTACAGCATGTACTCCAGTGACTCTGGTCCTGGTTCCCCTCATGTACACGCCCGAGCTCCTCCTCCTATACCACATGTACCAAACAGGTTAAATTATTCGTGAACTTTTTAAGTTCATAAATTTTAGATTTTTAAATTTTGTCGGCTATTTTTTATTTTAAAAGATTATTAAAAATGTTTGCCGGATTTGTTGTATTTATTGATTTAACGCGGATTGTCTCAAGTCTTTTTTGTGGCTTTAACTTAATTATTTATTAAACGTGTTATGATTAATTTTTGCTTTTATTTTGCAAGTTAAACCTTTTAGGTTCATTAATTTGAGATTCATAAAACATTATTGGGGTTTTGATCAGATTAATAAAACATTAAACATGTGTGCCGAAAGAATTGTTAAATTAATTGGCCCAATGCGGATTTTTGTGTGTACAGTGGACACATTAGAATTGTCTATCCTAAAATATTTGTTTGACTTCAGTTGGGAACATGGTTAATCAATCGGGATTAAGGGAATCCCGATTGATTAACCTGAATATCCAATATCCACTTTTAATTTCCTGCTGAATCCTCTTATTAATTCATACATGATTTCGACCAATCAGACTTCTCTTATTTATGGACAAGAAAAATTTCATATTTTCTCAGCTTGTTAATGAGATTAATTAAAAGAGGAGATTAAGCATTGATCTCAATATCCACAACTCTTAAGTTTTCAGAGCTGAAAACTTTAGAATGGGATATCCACCATTCAAAAGTTCCCAGTTCAGCTATGATTAATTTGTATTTATATCTATTAATATTTTAGACAAGTTGATTGTCATCTGTGTGGACAAAAGTTTATGAGGGTGAAGGATCTTGCTAAACATAGAGAGAAGGTCTGTACTGCTTGGATCAATACAGGACAGTAGACTGAACTAAACTGGATCCATATAGGCGTTAACCAGATTAAACTGGATTAATCTTAGCACAGCTGCTTGTATCCATAGTAAACCAGAATAAACTGGATCCATATAGGACCGTAAACTAGATAAAACTGGTTCCAATCCGAACAGCTGTTTGTTGTGTGCTAATTTAATCAAACCAGTGGAAACAGCTGAAATGATAATTAGCTCCTTAATGTTGGATGAAGATAAGTTCAATGATAAATTCAGTGATCAAGCAATTTCAAAAGTCACCTCAAGAAGGCATAAATTATCATCAATTCTTTTTTTATGAAAGTGATTTAATTTCAACCCAGATTCCAGATTGCTTATCAGATTTTAATACAAAACGTCCACTAATATCAATTAAGATGCATACAAATTCAAAAACCAACATCTGAACAAATCTCCTCTGCCTTCTTTCTCCACTCCTCGGTACACATAAACATATAGTTTTTTTGCAAAATTAAAAATTTTAAGTTATTGGAACTTTTTAAAGAAGCATTTTGTGTACAAATATCTGCCAAATTACGTCGATTTAATCTCAGAAAAAATGTGCATTTTTGTTGTAGTTTTTATTGATTCATATTTATGTTGTACAGATTTATAACTGTAAATCAGTTTATTTCACCTATGTACCTGTTACCAGTAGTCAGATAATGTTTTATTTATATACTTAAAAAATAATAAAAAAGCTAGAAAATGTTTTATTTTTTCAGAAGCGTTGAAATTTTCCCACGAATGCTGGTATTTAGTAAAGACAATTACATGATTCACTTCTTGAAACTAATTGCCAAAAAGGCATCAGAAATATCTCTTACAGTTCAAGCATTGTTAAACTGTTTGTTTAATGCAAAATTTGGGATTTATTGGAGATTTATTAATCAAAGCAACAAAATAAAAAAATAGTTTTTGGTCGTTACTAGTTACAGTTGAGAGAAATTTTAATGTTCGTCTTTGATCGTTGACATAATTTGCGGCATTTATTCGTCGACCTACTTTTACTTCTAAATGAAATGTGGTCCGTAATTTGTGTTTTATTATTACCGAGTATGTAATGAACTTGGTTCAGATTTGAGCACCAGAAATATGAATTCTAAGATAATTTTGGCAGCTTAAAATCCCACATTTTTGGAAATGCCAGAACTAATTGGGTTATTTTTGTGATCTTTTAATGTAAGTTTGTTGAGAGTCTGTTCAAGAGGAATCGATCCCATGGTTACTAAATGCTTTTTGAATTAGTTGTTTAAGTTCAGTTAAAGAATTCTACTTCAAATTGACAAATGAAACCCTAAAATAATGTCAAAGATCATCCACTTCACGAACATTTAAACCTTTGCATACTAAATAATAAACAAGATAAGATTTTTAAAAAAGCTAGTCTTCAATGGCGCTTCGCGTCGCTCGATTTAAAAAATCTTCTGACTTTTAAGTTTAATGTTTCTTTAAGAGGAACCATTTTAAATGAAAAACAGATTTCGCGGATTTTTCTCTTTCGGATTTAATGTCAGATCAAAATTTGGCAACAATATCTCTTTCTCCCCAAGAGGCGCAACTAACACTATTGTGAGGTGGGGGTCTTGTCTCCCTCTGTCGGAATGTTTTCAAAAAGAAAGCGCTGTTTTCAGGATTTAAAAAAAACCCAGCATTTTTTTATTTTCTCCAATAATATACCAAATTCTTATAATATTCAATATTTCCAACGAAATATTCGTTTAATGAAATTCATTCAGTTTCGTTCAAAAATTTTTGCGAATTTTGATGTACTTTCGATCTCATTTTCGCCAAAATTCGACCATTTTCGTTCGATAAAATCTAATTTTTTTCCTTTCGCGTCAAGAAGATTGTCTGATTAGGCCCTTAAGGGTAAAGGTGTCGAACATTTTCATGTTATTTAATTGATAAGGAACAACTAGCAAATAATCCCAGGAGAACAATAATTTCTTGAAAAATCAGATTAAAAATGGTATGTACAGTGACACCCTTAATAACGAATACTTCGGAAGAATTTATCAAATGTCGTCTTGACAATTTTTCAATGAGTTTTATACTATATTACGTAAATTTCAGTATTTGCGAAAATAAATAAATAGCCATGAATATGCGGGGACAGTTTTAAAGAGTTCCATATAATCATTTAATTAAACTAAATATCTGCAACATTCCATTATCAGAAAGTGAAAAATACGACATTTGATGAATTCTTTCGATGTATTCGTTATTAAGGGTTTCACTGTATTGTTTATCAGTGATTTTCTGCATTTCTATTTTCACATATAGTTAGTGTTTAGTGTTGAATCTTGAATATACAGGGTTACGCACATATAGTTAGTGTTTAGTGTTGAATCTTGAATATACAGGGTTACGCACATATAGTTAGTGTTTAGTGTTGAATCTTGAATATACAGGGTTACGCACATATAGTTAGTGTTTAGTGTTGAATCTTGAATATACAGGGTTACGCACATATAGTTAGTGTTTAGTGTTGAATCTTGAATATACAGGGTTACGCACANGGGGGGGGGGGTGTTTTCCACCCCCACTATTGTTTTTTTCTAAATAACTTAAAAACGGCTTGCAATAGAACTTTAAACTTTCTCACTTATTAAACATTATAATTGGGAAAAATGTTGGCAAACGTTTATCTTTAATGCATAGGATAGGGTGGAGGGGGTGGAGGACAGTAAAATGGGGGGTCGGCGGCTAAAAAAAACAGAAATCTCAATAACTGTTTTGTTAATTAAGCTACAGGGCAAAAATTTATATTTTGCAAAGCTTTTGAAAAACATAAATACATGTAAATATTTTTCAAAATTCAAAATAATTATTTTTCAACATTTTTCCAAAATACCTTTTGAGCTTATTTACAAAATCCCCCCTTGCATGCCCCATAACCAATAAAGTTAGAGGTCTTATTTTTTAGTGAGCTGCAGACCACTTGTACAATGAGAATCAGAAAACAACAGAACAGAAAGATATATACAGCCATGTGCTACTCTAATATATTAAAGTACATAAATACGTGCACTTCTCTAATTTTACTGATATTCTATTCAACATGTGGAAAGCAAATTTTTACTTAAAACTATAAATGTACTTTTCAATTTATATATATACAGGGTTAACAAGAATTTCATGGGTCCTGATTCTGGAATTAAATTGTTGATTTCTAGGTTGGGGTCCAAACCAAGCATATAAATTAAGCACGTTGTAAAAATTCGGATTAAAGAGACTTTTAACAGTGTTCCTCTATGCAGAGATGTTCGATTCACAACGGTACCCTTAAAATCTTTATCTGATCAATAATGTGGATGATATTGTCATTTTTCTTGCTTGAAAAGTGTTTAATTCTTCCTGCTTTCCTGCAATAAAATGCGCAAGTCACTTTTGCTGAGAAACTACGATTGAAATTAATCAGATTATAAAATTATAAAACATGAATATATAATTCATACTTGATCGACAATGTTTTTAAGGATGCCCTTGTTTTTACTATCTTTGCAATTGTTTTTTTTTTTTGTTTTTTTTCGATTTAAACGATTTACCTAAAATTTAGATCGGCGAATTTTAAATGGAGTTGTTCCACTTATATCCCAAGCTTTTCATGAATTAATTAATTGTCCTGACATTTTATCATAAATATAAATTATAAAATCCAATCAGCATTTCTGATTTAAGTTGCCTAATTAATGTGTAATGCAATACTTTTATGGATTTGGACATTGTCTGAATAAGCTATATATATTAGTATGCTAAATACTTAATGAATCATTTAAAAATAAAGGATCTGTGATGTTTTGAATTATAAATTGTAAACGTTATGTTGCCATTCTGCAGTTTCGTGTTATTACTTAATAATTATTAAACAAAAAATATTCAGATAAAGAAAATGGTAATTTAAAGAAATTAATTGTCTAGATCACAAAAGAACTTTACTCTTGTCACAAACTCTTAATTTTCTGTCATGTAAAGATATATATAGTGATTAGAAAATTAGAAATAGAGAGCTTACTGCGCATCACCATGGACGCAAACAAACCAGTGGGCGAGATGCATTTGGTTTTTTCTAATTGCAATCTCCATTCAATCACGTTTTGGTCTATAACAATATTCAAACCTATAACGGAGTTGTCTTTTTTATGCATTTTTTTCTTTTTAAGGTATTTGCCGACAAGAATGTATTAAGAAGAAAAAGGCGAAAAATGTATATTTCAAATTTAAATCAAATTTTGCTGAGATAAGGACTGAACTGTTAAATCAGCGCATCCCATACTTTTCTTCTCAGTCTCTAATCTGTTTAAAGGAAAAACCTCTGAAATTTAAGCATGGGAGAAGGATTAGGATTTGTAATAAAGGTTGAAAGATAAAGTTTGGTGAGAGTAGGGATGGGCACGCCAGACTTTTTTTTTCATTTTGTTCGTTCATCGTTCGTTTTTTCTTCATTCGTTCAAAAAAATGATTTCTTTCTTTCTCAAAATTATCGTTTGTTTTCCATCTATATTATTCATTTTCTCACTGAACGTTCAGTTATATCGTATGTTCAATCAAATCGTTCGTTAAGTGAGAAAGAATTTTTTTTTCAAGTATTTGTTAGAAAATATCGTTCATTCATTAAAAACTATACTCAAAAAGAAATTTTATTTTTGAAAAAAATGATATTAAGAGGTTAATTTTAAAAATGAAATTTTGAAAATAAATCTATTTTTTTGCCTATGTCACCCCCAGGGTAACTAAAAGTTTCCTGAAAACAATTCGGTTCAGCCGTTTGGCCAGCCATAGCGAACAAATAATCTAAAGAAGAGCTTTTTATTTAGATTACTTAATTGTGTTCCTACTTTTTTACACGTTTTCCATTTTTAAAAATGTCTTTTAATATCTTTAGTAAAAATACTAAACTAGCCTATAATAAAATATAAATATAATAAATGTAGATTTTTTAGAAATATATGTTTTTTTCTGCTAGTTTTGTTTGAATGAGAGATAAAGTATTACTTGCAAGGTAATTGGACTGTATGTGTACCTTTAAAGTATCTTATGCCTGATATCCAAGAAGCCAAATATTTCAAATTTTGAATTTTTTGCGCTTCGCGCANTCTTGGTATAGGGATGCTCACGCGTTAATGAAATAAATCGTTACGCCTAATAACGCATATAGTTACGCGAAACTTAACTAAACGGCCATAACTCGTCAAAAAGAGGAATTATGATTAATAAAATATAAAGTCAAATCTTCTATTTAATTTACTTTACTTTGACGTGAATGAATGAAGGGTACAGACTATATACTGTATAGGGGTTTGAGTTAAAATGAAAATCAAGTTTACAGATGTGAGGGCGAGGGGTGTTTCCTCCCTAAATTTAACAAGGAAATTAACTAACTATATCAACCTACAATATCTACGGGACAAATACTTTTTAAGCAGTTTTTTTGCTCCTAATAAATGGTCTTTTTATTTATAAAAGGACTTGTTTAATTATTAAATAATTCTACTTTTATTTTTAAAAGTTTATTTGAACAGCCTGTATATATATGTTAGGATGGAAATATGTTAGTTTACTTCATTCTCTCAACATGACAGGAACTGTGATATTCAATATAAATAAATATTAAACATTGCAGGGACAACTAGAATAGGTGGAGGGAGAGGGGGGGGGGGGCAGTCGCGTTTCTCTTTGCTTTAACCCTAACTCATTTACCCCTGTAATACCGAACTATAACGAAATCTGATTAAAAATTGTAATAAAATTGAAATTGTAATAACATTTCCATTCAAATTTTAACAGTTCATTGATTTTGTGAAAAAAAGTAATTTTATAAATACCCAGTATTCCATGCACTACTACACAACTATGGAAATTGTATAGCATACAAGCTAAAGTGCCCGGCATTGCCCGTAAAATTTTAAAAACACTTTAGAAAATAAAATTAAAAATTTCTAATTTTGATAAGAATTTTGGCCAATTTTGTCCAGTCGCTTGGTCAGCTGAAGCAAATATATATATTTATAAATAAATATGAGCGTAGACCTTTATTTTTTATTTTTTATTAATTTTTATTATTAAGACATTGTGTCACCAGTTCTACTTCTATGCTCGCGGTTTGCTCACCTCGAACCACTTTTGCTTTTTTGAAGTACAAGAACATCTTGAATAATGGCTTCCATGAATAAAACATATATTTATAAGGAGTATTTGGCAAGATCCTCATTGATTTTTACGTCAAAATTTGTATATTTGTATTTTTCAGATTTTTGTATTTGTCATATTATTTCAAATTCTTAATAATTGTTCATACGATTTTTAAAAAAGTAAAAAAGTAGGGAGGGGTATTTTAATAAAAATGAAAATCATGGTAATACTAAATACAAATTATTATTTTATGAATACTTAGGTTTCTTTTAAAAACATTGTGCTTGCATTTAAAGTTGCAATGTTTTTATTTTTAATTCATTTATTCCTAAAACTTGTTTTAAGAGTACAGCAAATTAGAAATATAATGTTTTCATTGACGCCTTCTTTTTCAATCCGTCAAATTCAATTCAAATTCATTAATATTCCTTCATTCACTTTAAGGCTGTTATGTTTTTGTTAAATTAACTCACGTACGCCCAAAGCATGCATTTTTAAAGATTATTTAATTGGATGATTATCAAAATCTATCTATATATTATCGATTTTTAAAAATCAAAACAAAACAAATAAATATTGATTAAATCTATTTTCTGCAGACAATTTTTTTCTTCAAAAATTGTTATTTTTTCTGTCCATATCAAGAGAAAACGTACCGACAGTACATTTCTTTTAGATAAAACAGACGTATTTTCCGAACCCTTTTCATCTTTTAGAGTTAGAATTTGGGTTATAGTTGTTAGATTACTAAAATATAAAATAAACCTAATTTAATTATATTCAATGTTTCAAGATTCAAGCCGGGGCTCATTAAAAACCGGTTTTGGGCGGATTTGAGACGCGGCTCAAACTCATTAAATTCGGACTCTGGAGAACATTAATTCCGGAAAGGTTTAAATAACTTATTTTTATCCATGTAAAAAGGAATTATGAAAAAGACAAATAAAAGAAATGTTTTTTACTCTGCAACTTTGTTTTTGCTTCCTTTTAAATTAAAGATAAAAAAGTCATAGTAAATGAATTTTTAATACCAGAATGAAAGTGAAAAGGTGAAAAATTGGAGGAAGCAAAGTTTTTGATTTATTGCTTGAATATACGGAAATGTCTTGAAGGTGGAAGAACAGCAGAATCCCTGATAAATGATTACGAGGTTCAGTATGGTCAGCTCAATCTAACCCATAAGCTCAGGGTTGTCAGACGGGTCAATAAATTCATTACGCTTCTCATCTTAGACGTTTTCTTCTGCTTCTTTATCATAGGTAAACTCAGGCACACCCTCTTGTTTCCACCGGAATTCCGGGTTACGGTTTACGTACGGAAATGATCCGGCAATTTTTTCCATTTCCATTATGGAAAAGGTTCCGGAAAACCGGAATTCCGGAACGATTTCCGGAACGATTTTTTTCCGTAAAACGGAAACTTCCGGAACGTTGTTCCGGAATTACGGATCGTTCCGGAAATTTTCCGGAAATTTCCGGTTTCCGGAACATCTGGTACCAGAATTACATTAAAGTCTTACATATGTAAATACAACACTAACAATATATGGATGGATGCCGGACGGTAGAAAAAGTAATACTCAATAATCAATATTCAAAGTTTCTATAGTGTGAAATGTAACTGATAAACCGAGGGGGGGGGGACTCTACCACTAGCAGGGCAGTAGCTAGCGGGGGGGGGGCAATGATCCTCGTTTTTTTCTTCAAATTTTCAAACTTTGTAAATATGAATTTAATTAAAATAAGAAAAATTCTTTAAGTTCCGGTTTACGGAATGGAAATTTTCCGGTTTACGTTACGTAAACCGTAAAAATTTCCGGTTTACGGAATGGAAACCGGAAATTTTTCCGGTTTACGAAATGGAAACTGGAAATTTTACGGTGTCCATTCCGTAAAAATTTCCGGTTTACGAAATGGAAACCGAAAATTTTTCCGGTTTACGATATGGAAACTAGAAATTTTACCGTTTCCATTCCGTAAAACGGAAATTTTTCCGGTTTACGTGACGTAAACCGGAAAATTTCCGGTTTCCATTTATACCGGAATTATCCCGGAATTCCGGTTTACGCAACAAATTTCCGGATCATTCCATTTCCAAAATGGAAATTTTTTTTCGGAAAAATGGAAATCCTAGTTTCAATACTATGTTTCTATACTAGATATAAACAGACTGTTCATAAGCTCTCACAGGCTAGGTTAAGCGGGCCTACAGGTTGTACCGGCACGACATGCTACATTTCCAGGAAAGGTTTTTGACTGCCATCTAACGGCCACTTTTTACATTTAACACCAATTTTACAATTTCTAAAGAAACAGATCTAACTTTTAACAAAAAATGTAAAATTTATGAATTTAATCTAATTTTGGAGGTTTTGCATTTCGTATCCGAAGGATCCTTAAATATCCTTGACAGACGTCTTTTTATTGGTCGTATACTCCAGTTGTACACAATGGAACCTGCTGTGGAAAATATCACATATTCTAGCCTTTATTAGATCTTTGTACTAACATAACAGTATAATAAAATGTCGATTTTTTAGAAACAATACTTTTTTCTTCTAATTTTTTATAAAGTAATGCAAGACGTAATTGAACTATATGTGTACCTTTAAAGTTTAAAGCATCTTATTCTTATGCCTGATATGCAAGAAGCCAAATATTTTGAATTGATTGTTCAAATTTTGACCCCCCTCCTTTGGAGCTCCTAGGGGGGGGGGGCAAACATTATTTTTGGCGCTTCGCACAAATTTTGCCCCCCCCCCCATATATTTCTTTCTGTATACGCCCTTGGACGTTAAACATTGTCACCTGATTGAATTGGACACCACTGGAAAGTTGAAACTCTGGGTGGGCAAGAAAATCCTCAAGCAAATTTTTTCTCGAAAAAATTCAATAATATTTTGTTGTAGGACCTGCAGTTATTGCGTTCTGGAGGGGGACCTGGGATTTCACAGTTTACCTGTTAGGTCTGTTCAAACGTGAGTCATGGATCAGCTGATTCAGCATGCCGTCATGTCTGTTTTTGCCGCCATGATTGTTTCGTCCATTTTGATTATTTGCATGTTTTATTTCAATCAGCCATTCATTAGCGGGTGTCATTACACAATGATAATAATAGATAGCCTGCAGAATTTTAAATTTGATTGATGTTGTTCAATTTGAACGAATGAAGTCTTAAAATTGAATATATTGCCAATTTTGAGCCACCCAAACAATAAATAACCTCATGTGAACAACGGAAAATCTGAAAACAAAGATTGCTTCTCGTGTTAATTTGTGTCCATGTTGTTTGATCGAAAGTTGTCTTCATTGTATTAATATATACGACAACCAATGTAATAAAAACAGCCGCACCGTGTTGAACTATATATCTATTCTCTATTAATCATAAATTTCAATCCTTGGGAATCTTTGGGAATCCTTTTTCAGTTTAAAACTTTGAGTAGAGATTTTCGTTTTCGCGTAAATTTCAAATCTGAGAATTATGATTTCTAGCTCTTACGAAAATTCAAACTTATTTGTACCCTCACTGATAGTTTATAACCGTGAATAGTCACTTTTTACTGTGGGAAAAGCATGTTTTTTTGTGAAAATATGTAATGTGTAAATAATTATGTAAATGTATATTGTATATACTTTGGTATAATATATATGTATATAATTTGGAACCTTGTAGAACTGTAAATAATTATGTAAATGTATATTGTATATACTTTGGTATAATACAAATGTATATAATTTGGAATAGTAGAACGGTAAATAATTATGGATTTGAATTAGAGATGTAAATTATTCAATTACAATTGTACAATCTCTACCTCACGATAACTCTATGTAAATTAGTATTCTGATCAAACATTGAGATCTGAACAATAACTTCGTTCGTTTTTGAACATTTTTAAGGGTTTAAAACCTTTTTATTGATTTATTGGCTTCTTTTCCGAATTTTCGAATTTTATTAATTAAAAGCTTTCTTTTATTAGATTATGTAAAAATATTACCGCATGAGAGATGATATAAGGAAAACAACTTACCAAACTTTCGGTTTGTTAAAATGAATGCAGGTGTATAATAGTATTATGTGAACCTTCTTGAAAACATTTAAAAGAAGGACATTTTCGATTCACAACGGTACCCTTTCTCTCATGAGGAATGAATGAAATATCCTAGTTTTTCTAGGAGAAAATTTACCATTTCTAATAATCAACTGTGGTTATCCAACAAAGAAACTTCCGGATTTATGCCTCAGAGACAATAAATGAAATTAAAAGAATTGAAACGTTTTGAAATTTAGGAACTATAGATAAAAATTATTGGAATAAAGGAAGAATATCATTAAATTATCCTTAGTTTTTTATTTTACTGCGGGCACAGCAAAGAAACAAACTATGTTTATGTCAATTTTTTTAATCGGGTTGATATTGAAGTAAATGTTTTAATTGCATAATGTTCATCGTGAACATTCTGATGAAATATTAAACTTAAAAAATTCCAAATTTTTTAATATAATTTTTTATAATATTTTTAGATGAAGCGGAGGTGGACAGATATCTATCCAACTTTATATCTTTAACTGTTGGGTTTACAGCAACTCTACTGATAGGTTAGATTCATCAAAATATGTTTAGTTCTATCCTAAACAAAACTTTAGAAAAACTAATACCATTGATTTTGATTCATGTTGGAACTTTGAACTATATGAATAACAAGAGTATGTACATTTTTACTGTAGTGTTTTTTTTGCAACTATTTCCATTAAATAATTCAAATTCGTCTATTCTTCAAATTTGAAAAAAACGGAAAAGAGTTTTAGCCACAAAATTAAATTTTCTAATCATTATATCTTTGCAGCCTGGTGTGTTAGATCAAATAAACTAAGTTTGAAATAGCAAAGATTTACACCATCAGGTTACAAATTAGACAATTTTAGTTTGTGGCAAAAACTTTGTTCCTTTGTGTTATTTCCATAAATTATAGATTTGTTTCACAGTAATCTAGGAGATATTCTTGGAAACCCCGGAGATCTTAAACACACCCTAGCTACCAGGTATGTTTCACAGTAATCTAGGAGATATTCTTGGAAATCCAGGAGATCTTAAACACACTCTAGCTACCAGGTATGTTTCACAGTAATCTAAGAGATATTCTTGGAAAGCCAGGAGATCTTAAACACACCCTAGATACCAGGTATAATTCACAGTAATCTAGGAGATATTCTTGGAAAGCCAGGGGATCTTAAACACACCCTAGCTACCAGGTATGTTTCACAGTAATCTAGGAGATATTCTTGGAAANGGGGGGGGGGGTGCAACTCTTACCAATACATTGCAAGTATAATTTATACATATAGTGGGAATTATTTTTTTGAGCTTAAAAAAAGATACTTATCACTTTGACCACAAGTTTTATTTTTAGGATTTACAGTGTTCTTTGGGGGATTACTGATATTATGCTCTGGAAGGAAAAAATACAAATATTAATATGATTTTTTACATTTCCCCGTATTTTATTTTCTTATACATTTAATCAATGAGTTCACTTTTAAGGGACTGTCTTTGTTATTTCAAGTGATCTTACATTTAACAAGGAGCAGGCCGAGCATGCCCGATTGAAAACAAAAAACAAAAGAGTAAAAATGCGAATCATTAATGGCATTCTTAAAAAAGATTGTGAGTGTAATTTTTAATGACAATCCATGCAAAGATTGCAAAACCTGATTCACAACGGTACCATTGAAACTTAATTTATTCATTAATATGAAGGTTATATTGTCGTTTTTCTAAGATTAAATAATTAATAATTAAACACTGCAGTAAAATTGCACAGGTCACTTTTGAAAGGTCACGAAGCGTTGAATTGGTACCGTTGTAAATCAAGCGTTGAATTGGTACCGTTGTAAATCGGACATTGCCATCTTTGAGTAGAGGGTCACTTCAATATACGCCCCATTAAATGGAGTTCCATGTTAAATTTCGCCAACAATACTTTTAGATTTTGATTAAATTTAAATGAATATAAATAAATGTATATGATGGAGTAGGGTGTATGGGACGGGTTGGATCTGGTGGCCGGGATCCATTGGCAGGTTTCATTATCATCTCTATCAGTAGGAGAGAGTTACAATACATTAAAAGGGAACAATCGCGATTTTTTAACTGTCTTCACGTCAAACTAAAGTAAATTTCACGAACGATTACAATCTTGAATGTGTTCACTCATATCTCATCTTGATGAGGAAGTATTGAGAAGATCAAAATTTTTTTAAATTTCTAATCAGTAATTTCTAATCTGGAATTTCTAATCTGTAATTTCTAATCTGTAATTTCTAATCTGTAATTTCTAATCTGTAATTTCTAATCTGTAATTTCTAATCTGGAATTTATAATCTGTAATTTCTAATCTGGAATCGGATGAATATTCTTTTCTCTGTTTTTTGCATTATTCCAAAACTAGAGGATCTACGAGGTCACAAAATTGTATCGCATAATTGTGACCTTCTTTTTCCGTCTAGTTTAGTTTGCATGTTTTTTTAAAGAATAACTCTGAATAATCAAATCTGTACTCTATAGACTGTGTGAAAATGTTCCACGTCAAATTTAAATAAAGGAGTTTGTGTCTTTGCCACAAACTCTAATTTTCCAATCCCCTTTTCTTTACAACCTGATGGTGTAGACCTTTGGTATTTCAAACTTAGAGTTTTATCTCTCAGAATGCATAGAATTATCAAAATATCCAAGTTCTACTATATATAAAGGGATTCGAAAATCAGGGTTTGTAGCAAAGACTTATTCCTTTCACGTTAGATTGAAGTTTTCATGTTTTTAATTAAAATTCCTCTATTAAGTTATATCCCTTCAGCATGTTTGATAAAGGTTTATTGTTTAATTAATTTGTGTTTAACATTTCGAACATGCAATTGCTAGCATTGAACTTATATCGCGAGGGAGGGGGTGCAGAGCCTCCATGAGCCCCGCAAAATTGTCTCCAAGCCCCCGGCCGTATTCGCAGATGATTATTTAAAATGACCTTGCGCGCGCCACCCCTAAACGTTAGAATAAATATTTTAGAAGTAATAAATAACATTTTTTTTAAATATCAAATATTAAAATAGTTATGCAGTGTTTTCTTGAATATCCAAAAAACAATGCAAAATTATTAAAATGTCACATAATTTTTCTAAAATTTTTTATGCATTACTTCTATTATGTTCTATTCTAAAGGATAGGGGTAGCGCCAGGTCATTTAAGATACTCATATCTGCGAATTCAGCGGCTTGGATACCATTTCGCGGGGCTCATAGCGTCCCTGCCACCCCCTCCTTGTCCAGAGTAGGTTCAGAGGCTAAATTCGGGAGCTTATTTGTCAAACAAAACCGGGTCCATAAAAATAGTATCAATTAATTTTTTTTTAAACAACCAATCCAATTTCTTCAATAATATTTAGAATTAGAAACCAAGTTTGATAATTTAAGCTGAAATTTTGGATTAAAATACATTTTCCTAAGAGTTGGAAAAATGGCGCGAACTCTCTGACATGTTTTACAAATTATTTGTTAAATGATTATATTGTAACTCCACTGTGTACAGGGGTTATCATTCTTTCAGTGACAAGAACACTTAAATCTGCTCTGTCTATGCCGGTAAATATTTTTAAACATTTTATTTGTATTAAAAATTGTATTTTATTTTTAAAGACTTTTTTTCAAGAAAAAACAAACAATTTCGTAAAGATTTAATTTAAATTTTTCAAAATTTCTTATAATTATTATTAAACTTTTATGACATTTAAGAAAACAATATCAAATTATTAAAAAAATTTTTTTAATAGAATAAACATTTTTCATCAAATAAAGAAATTCATTTTTTCATAAAAACTTGTTTTCTTGGTTTTTTTTAATGTTTAAATATATTTTTGATTTATTTGTCACATTTCAATGTTTTTATATACAAAATCAAAACCAAGCAAAAAGGTTGAAAAGGAGGTGGTTGGTCTTTGGCATGGGTATTGTTTCCACTAATTACTTTCCTAGACTGTATTTATACTTAATCGGCAGGTTTAGTATACAAAAATATTTTCAAATGGCAAAGAAACTTAACATTTTTAAATTAACACATTATTATTTAAAATAAGATTTTTATTGAAAAGAACTGTAAAATTCGACAAACATTCAACATAAATATTTGGATTGAAATCATTTCATAATTTCCCATTGAAATCACTTATATTTCAATAGTAATAACTATCCTCTCAGGAGTCGGAAAGGTCATGTGTGTGTGTCTGTACTAAAATAGTGTGTGTAAGGTTTACCGAACTTGTCTGCAAAGCAGTGCGACTGGCTTTCTAATGTCAGACCAGTGCCATTTCCTTTCCCTTTATTCCTATTCCTTGTATCCTCTCTACAACATAGCCCATAAATCAATAAATCATGTACTACTGTTGTATCCTAGATTGTTCTTAATAAGAAAGAAGATAAACCATGTTCCTGTTATAGTCCGTAATCCAGCTTATGTTGCGGAAGTTGAGCTGGATGAAGATGAAGTTAATCCAGTAGATCTAACTCCTCAGGTCAGTGGAGATGATCCTATTGTCACTGCACCAGCCTCAGAAGATGAAGACGTAGCTCAGGACGTAGAGGATGGCAGGGATGACGATGAGGAGATGGAGGAGGTCCCACAGTTACTCCAGGACATCAAGAGTAGTCTGGAGGAACTTAGTAAGGAGCTTATAACTATTCTGTCCCCTGCTCTTAGGGACTCAAGCTCCCCTCAGCCCCCTGTAGTCCCCCGTATTGAGGTATGGGACACAGGGAGGGCTTGGGAGCGTGAATACAGACTGTATCCTGAATCTAGTATAAAAGAGATCAGTGACAGACTGTCTAGCCAGGTGTTGGATCTTCTTCGGATCATGCACGAGCGGATCAACCAGCAAACCTGGAATGAGAAAGATATAGAACTGATTGACGGACTGAATAATATATCAGTCATGCACACTAGACTTAGTAAATTAACTGAGAAGGTGCTCAACGGTCAAGCTAAGAAACCTAACATGTAAAGGGATCATGACTGATCATTATGTCATCAGATTATCTCCATGTAATAATATGTATGCATTCATGAATATGTAAATAAATATATCAACACTAATGAAAGCATATTCTATTACTTTGGGTGTTAATTATTGCACGAGCAAGTAATTATATAAAGGTTTACTCCTCGTGATGGAGATAGCCCGAAGTATAATGTGCCAGGTTGCAAAGATAAGTAATTGCATAAGGGTTAGGTCCGAGTGATGGAAATAACCCGATGTGCAATGTTATCAGGTTGCTAAGATAATTGATCTTATACAAGTTAAATAACTTGAAGCGTGATCTTATCAAAGTTTGCTAATTTAAGTTTGCCAATTTATTGCACATTTTTAGTAGTAAGAGCATACTACACTACTCACTAATCAAAGTCGCAAAGTCGACGTTTAAAATCATACAAAAATAACGACGACAAGAAATGTATCAAAAGTTATAAAGTAAACCAATTTAGCTGTTAAGGAAAAGGTTGAGAAAATAAAAATTTTATCTTATTATCGAAAATAAGTAATCTTATTTAGTTATTTGTTTCTGTAATATCTTATTGTTTACAACGGATTTTCTGTCACAGATTTCCCAAAATTTTCATTGAAAGACGACATTTGAAGAATTTGAAGAAATCTACGAACAAATTCATAAAGAATAAGAAATTCATATAATCGATTCTAACACTGATTTATTGACAAATTCCTATTAAGAAATATGTTCCTAAACATCTAATTTTTGTTATATTAAAAAGAATTGATTCTCAAAACGCAACTACCTAAATGGATGATTTTAAACACCGACTTTGAGCGCAAACTCAGTATTTATACATCATTAAAAGGTTTTATATGTTTCAAATGAATCCTAAACAAATTTCTCCACAATACTACATTCTCAGTTCAACTACCATACATTACCGGTCACTCCCTTTAAAGTACGACTAAAGTTAAGGAAAAATAACAATTACAAAAAGTGTACAGGCCAAACAGCTACCTCCTTCTTTGTGTTAAACATCGCTATAATCTCTGTTTTTTACAGGAAAGGGAGCGCCTAGTTTATGTATATTTCTAGATTGGTATATGTGTAGACGAACCAGCGCCTAGTTTATGTATATTTCTAGATTGGTATATGTGTAGACGAACCTAGTTTATGTATATTTTCTAGATTGGTATATGTGTAGACGAACCTAGTTTATGTATATTTCTAGATTGGTATATGTGTTGACGAACCTAGTTTATGTATATTTCTAGATTGGTATATGTGTAGACGAACCATCAGAACATTTAAGTTCACAAACCTTCCTAGAGACGGATAAATCAGACCCAATTTTCAGGTAATGCTAAACCAATCTTTTAATTTTTAAAAAAAAAGTTTTAAATAGAAAAAATTGCTCCAACAATTTCGAAAACACTAATATTTAAATTGACTAAAATAATGAATCTTTTCAAAAACTTTCATTCTTTTGCCAGAAGTATTGGTTTTAGAGATTGATTATATAATCTTAAAAAATGCCTTCAATTGAACTTAACGATTTACAACGGTACTTCTGGTGTAAACCTTCAGCTGAGAAGTAAAAGCTAACACAGATTCCGTTTGAAATTCGATAGCTTTCGGTCAGATCGTCTTTCCAGATTTTTCTAACAAGATAATCGCTAGGAAATGTCTGAGATTTGTTAAATTTTGCAGAGAACCCTAAGATTTTTTACATTATCTAAATACTAATTACCAAAATCTAAAAATCATATTTTATTAATTAAAATTCGAAATAACGAAACATAATATTAAAACTGAATGAACACGAACATGAATAGATTGATAATTTGATAATCAAAACATGCCAGGCTTGTCAAGTTAAGCTATTAGATATCTGTAGGCCTAGTAAATATGTAAAACACATGCATTAAACTTAACCTCACAAATATCTATTTCAAGTTAACAGAATTTTATCAATATTGAATTGAATCTCATTTTTTTTATTTTATTGAAAGAAAACAGTTGATTTAAAGGGAGTGTCTGGCTAGACTTTGTAGTTGAGCTGAGAATGCAGTATTGTAGAGATTTTTTTAGGATACTGCATTCTCAACTCAATTACAAGGCTAGCCAGACACTCGACTTTTAAATTTTATTATAAAAATTTAGAAAATTAGATTTTTAATTAATTTACAAAGTTTAATATAATGATTTATTTTATTGATTTAATGTAAACATTTTAAATTGTTTAAGTAATTTCAAGCCTTTTTTACTTATTGATTGATTGATATTGATTGTTCACTAGACGACTATGTGATGGGTTTGTGAGCAGACTTCTTGAGATTTGTGTTGTATTAACATGGCATGGAGCCTGGTCCTTTATAGATATAGCTTCAGGTATAAAGCTGGTCATGTCAGGTATGAAGCTGGTTATGTCAGGTGTAAAGCTGGTCATGTAAGGTATAATGCTGGTCATGTAAGGTATAAAGCTGGTCATGTCAGGAATAAAGCCGGTCAATTTATGTATGAAGCTGGTCAAGTCAGGTATAAAGCTGGTCAAGTCAGGTATAAAGCTGATCAAGTCAGGTATAAAGCTGGTCAAGTCAGGTATAAAGCTGGTCAAGTTACCAAAATTTTTATTTTATATTGATTAATTAATTATTTAAAATAAAAGCATATTATGAGTTGGAAAATATCTTTTTTTAAATTTGTTGATGAAAAAATGTTGATTTTATAAAAAACATATCTGTCTATTTGTTTTATGTTTTTAAAAATATGCAGAATTCTGTTGTATCTGCATTAAACTTTATTTATTTTCCAAGTCATTTTTAGGAATTACTTCGGTCAAAGTTGATCATAAAGTGTTTCGAACTACAGCAATAGGTTAATGAAAATACATATATTTTTTATTATTATTACATCAATACATTTTTTTACATGTTTATCTTCACTTATTACTTAATATTTGTACTTTAACGACTCAACATATGTATTAAAATTTAAGGATTAAGGGTGAAAAATTTTACTTTTTACTCTAAACATATTGCTCAGTGTTAAAATGTTAACATCTTTCTCAACATTTTTAATTTCAATATCAGAACATTTTAGAAGCTAAAGAACAATTTTCAATGATGTATCACTCGTTATCTGTCACAGCATTATAAATTAAAATATTATCACAAATTAATGGCCTCCAGATTGGAAAAAAGTAAATCTAAAAAAAGAAATGCTCTTTTGATTTGAATATCTATAAATGAGTTTTTTAGAATTACGTAGTAACGTACTAAGTTTTTTATGGACGCTTCCCAACCACTCAACAATTAATGTCATTATCGTAATTTCTAGTGACCCTTTATGCAAAGATGGCAATATGCGATTCACAATGGCACGCTTAAAAGCTTTGACTGTGAATTATAATTTTGAAAACTGATTATTTTCAATTGTGGTTTCTTTACAAAAGTGACTTGCTCATTTCTACTGCAGGAAAACATATAGGAATTGATTGAGACGTGAACAACAAAACAATCTTTCACATTATTGAGTTAAAGATTTCAAGGGTACTGGTGTGAATCAGCTGCATTACAATTTTTGCATGGAATTGGAAGGTCACTTGAAATTAAGCTTTAAGTCCCGCGGGTTAAGGTCTGACCTTTTTTTGAAGTCGAGAAAAGAAACTTTTAGTTCTCTTGAGAAGACAAAATACTTTTAAACTTCCAAGAATCTATATTTTTCGTCTACAAGGTCCGGCCAGAAATAGAAAAACGTTTTACATTCGGAATAAAGAAATTAAATATAAAGTATGATTTTCTGATCCCTATATCATGCAAAGACCTTATAGATATTTCAAACTATAAACTCTGTTAGATCAAATAATCTAATAACAATACACCATCAGTCGGCAAAGGTAAAGGAATTAGAATATTTGAGTTTGTGGCAAAGACTAAAATTCTTTTAAGATTCTTTGAAATTTTTCAGACGAGTTGGGTTGGAGCTCAGGTTTCTCCGGGTTGGTTTGTTTACTGGTCGGATTCTTAGGAATCATTTTCATCTTTCTCATTCAGTTCATACTCATCAATACTGCATCATCCAATAACAAGGCAAACAGATTTTAGATCAATATTTAATTGTATTTTCTTTTACAGATTTTATTGATTTATATCATTAGGATTAAATACAAAATATAAGAAAATAATGATGACCCCAAATTATTGAAACACACCGATTTTAAGGTTAAAATTTCTCCTAATTGTTTTAATTTAAATTTTATTATAAATGATTTGTCAATGATTTAGCTTTTTTCTTTTTTCTTTTTTGTCGGGATATGCGTTTTAAAAGGAAAAGTAACAAAGCGCTACACCTGGCTACATCCTAAGTTGTTTAAAGAAGGTGGGGGGGGGGGGNGCGCGCTCCTCAATTGGTAATGTCCAGTCTCCACGATCACAATTGGTAATCAGACAAAAAAGGGTAAAATTAAATATACGATATTGACCTCTGTTAATGGCCCTATGGTGTACAATATTCTAAAAGCTTTTCTTAAAACTACTCAGTTTCGAAAATAAATCTATTAATTTGCCATTAGAAGAAATAATTATAGTGAACTAAATACTTCATTTTAAATAGTGGCCGCGATGAGACTGATTTTTCTAAATTTTTTGTTCTTTCTATGCATGTAATTAGTTTTGTTCTAGATGTTGAAATTGCGTAGGCGAATAGAAAAAAAAGAGGCAATTTCAACGACGACATTTAAAATAGTGTTTGAATGAAGATGGCGGATTCCAGCCCCTCTGTGTGCTGGCATATATTCAACTATATTTTCACATTAGTCGGTATATTTATCACAATAGCAAGGTTAGTATTTCTGGAGTCTCAAGACCAAATTGGAATACACAGACTACCTTTTATCAATTTAATTAGATACGCTTCTAACACTATCGTCTATACAGGATTAGATACGCTTCTAACACTATCGTCTATAGTACAGGATTAGATACGCTTCTAACACTATCGTCTATAGTACAGGATTAGATACGCTTCTAACATTATCGTCTATAGTACAGGATTAGATACGCTTCTAACGTACTATCGTCTATAGTACAGGATTAGATATGCTTCTAACACTATCGTCTATAGTACAGGATTGCTCAAGGGACGAAGACCTTAATCTCTTTAAATCTGACGATTCAAAGTTTAACTAAAATTGTCTTTCTTTCATTGTTATTTTTATGTCGTATTGAAATATATGGCGAATGTACAGTTGCAGGGAATTAAAAATGGAAGCAGAAATTAATTCTGTACTGTCGTCTCTGAAGTCTTATCCTTTGTGGGTAACCCTGTATCCAAATTGCAATCATTGCATTCTGACTTCTGAGTTAATTTTTTCCTATTCTAAGACTATCTTTGATCGTCTTTCTTAGTTTTCCACAAAACTCTTATATGCCACTGTATTTTTCTATTTTTAGCTACAGTGGTAGGAAATAATATCAATACAATGAAGACGATATTTTGATTTAAATTTTGATTGTTAACACACTTTTTTGAACTACAAGTTTACTACAGGGTGTCCCACATCATATTAGACCGAGAAAGGGTCTAAATTACGATTTTCAGGACTATAATTAGAAAACTTAATTAGAATGAATCATTTTGAAAAATAACATAAGGCTTATATAAGTATTTTCTTGCGAAAAAAGATAAGTTTTTCGAGTATTAAGAATTTAAGGATTTATTTTGGCGTTAAAGATTGAAGATAATCTAATTTGATATGGGACGCTCTGTAGTAATCAAAGAGAAGCTTTTTTAATTGATGCAGCTTCTCTTTAATTCTATGTTTATGTGTTACCATGTTGTTTAACAGCTTAATATAAATCAAAATTGAAATCAAAAGTCGTCTTTATCGTATTTATATAATCGCCTACCACTGTATAAAATAAGGATTTCTCCTTGATTCCTAATCAGACAAAGGTTTATAGCGATACACTGCCACACTTTAAATAAAGTGTGGAGTCCTATTAAACTACAGTTGTCGATACAATGAAGACGACATTATCTTTCAATTTTAATTAATATTAAAAAGTTATTTTATTGTATTGGTATGAACACCGACCACTGTATCAAATTACTCAAGTTAGGAAAGAAATCATTCTTTTCATTAAATATTTTATTATTTTTAGTTTCCGTGGTGTTTGGTATACCCTGGATAATTACTATGTAACAGATAATAAATATGCAAGCTATATGTCTGCTACAGTTATAGGTGAATAATATATATAAACTTATCTTGTCCGTTTCTTTCTATGTTTGTAACCAACAAACGTCAAAACGGCTGAACCGATTGGGCTCAATTTATTTCTGGGACCTCATGCATGACCCCAGGGAAGGTTTGTGGATGATAAGTAATGGATGGAGGATGATAAATTTACAAAATATTTTATTATTTTTTGATGATGAGTAATTAAGCAACTTCATCTCACTATATATATATATGTATATATATATGATTGAAAAATATTTAAGATATTTGAGCAATATTAATAAAAAGTCCAAATTCTAAATAAATTCAATATTTATACAAAAGCTAAAGAGACCAGCGTTGCCCGTGGAACTTCACAAATTTCCAACTTTATTATTTAGATATAGAAAAAAGGATTTCATTGACTTATTTATTGACTTACTTCACAATTCATAAAATAGGTGTTTGCTCTATTTATCATTTTTTTAAACTCTCCAAGCTTATCATTTTGAAATTCAAAAGTTAGATTAAATGCTCTCTTTAGAGAATTCAAAAACAGCAAATAAATGGATATAAATATGTTGCACCAAACTACAAAGGTATCCAATTGCCAAAGTCATGAATCATGAGTACAGTGAGAACCAGAAAACTCTGTAATCAATAAGAAGACGAGTTTTAGACTGAGTGATGACTTTGAATATTCTAATGTACATGCGACACAAGACACTTTAAACATTGCTTCAATGTCGTCTACCTATTCCACAGTTTATGAGATTTTGTTTGTGAAAAGTTTTTTATTAAGGTTATCTTATACTCCTGGCCTTCGGCTGCAGTTCATGCCTTCATGCCGGCATATACAAGGATGATCCAAGTTTAGGTAATTTCATGCCTTCATGCCAGGAAATACAAGGATGATCCTTCTTTAGGTAAGTTCATGCCTTTAAGGTATACCTTAAAACTCAGGTTTAAATTGAATAAAAATTGGAATTTNGTGATATACAAGGATGATCCTAGTTTAGGTAATTTCATGCCTTCATGCCGTGATATACAAGGATGATCCTAGTCTAGGTAATTTCATGCCTTCATGCCGGCATTTACAAGGATGATCCCAGTCTAGGTAATTTCATGCCTTCATGCCGTGATATACAAGGATGATCCAAGTCTAGGTAATTGCATGCCTTCATACCGTGATATACAAGGATTATCCCAGTCTAGGTAATTTCATGCCTTCATGCCAGGAAATACAAGGATGATCCTTCTTTAGGTAAGTTCATGCCTTTAAGGTATACCTTAAAACTCAGGTTTAAATTGAATAAAAATTGGAATTTCAGCTGACACTTAACATTTTCCTACCTTTTCGTTCTTTAGTTTTGGACTCTGAAGAGCAACAGCATAAGGTTAAAATGTTAGAATAAATTAACTATATTTTACTACTTCAGGTGTTTCGGTGACATTCTATTATTTCTCCCACAAGTACGTTGTAAGTCTAGGACGGACGAGTTCAAAGACGGGTTTGAACGGAGTTTCCGAGATTAAAGACCTGCTCAATATGGACCCTGAGAACCTGGAAACTAAACCTAGACTTGAGACTGGAGGTACAGGGATCTCTTCTCAGTCATAGTAGAAAATGATCTAGATCTATGCATTTGTTCTCTTATAAATTACAGAATAAATTTTCTTATACAATATTTAATAATTTGCACACACTCCCTTTAAAACTCTTTAATCCCTGTGCTAAATTTTAAGAAACTGGATACTCGCCACAACGTAATCCCTATATCTTTGCAACACTTTGAAACTCTTTTATATTTCTAATACAATTTATAGTTTAAAATATCAAAGATCTACGAGTAGGATGCAAAGTAGTAAGGATTATATTATTTGTAACGAGCATCCAGTTCCTTTAATTCACTAGCACAAGTTAAAAAAAAAATATATTAAATTAATTAATCAATTCATTTGAAATATAGAAAGCAGAATAAAGGCAGACCAAAATTTGGAAAATTAAGAACTATGGTTATTGTGATTATTATTTCCAGTAATTGCCAAGTATTTGAATATTTCTGCTCGTGATAAAATATCAATAATTTCTATATCTTAATTGAATTTCTCTTCTCTTTTGTTCAATTCAATACTTTAACAATGCCATTCTCTAAAACTAAATGTAAAAATATATATTCATCGTCATTTATGCTATTTTATAAGCTAGTCAAAAATATACAGTTAACAAAACCAAATTAAACAAGTATAAAACAATGTGTTCTGCAAATTCTCAATTATCAGTCCAATTAGAAATCATCTGTCTCCATGCTACTCCATTTTCTTCGGTTTCTCCTGAACAAATTCAGATTTTGATTTTTAAAATCTTTTAAATTGAAAAGAAATTAAAAGTAAAAGATGGAATTAGGTCTTTACTTCAGCATTCTTAAACTTGCGTTGTTGTCTTTTTACACTTTTTCATCTTGTACTTATCCCCGGCAGAAAAGAATGAAAGAGAAAGAGTGAAAATGTTATGTTTGATTGGTCACAGCTTGATGAAACACGGTTCGAACTTTTAAACCAGGGGCGCATACAGGGATTTGTCAAGGAGGAGGGCTTACATCTTTTCTTTCTATTGGGACTCAGCATCAGTTTCACTGATCCAGGGAGGGGGGCTGGGCAACCATAATACCTTGATCACTCAATTACCATATTATCTTGACACCCTGTACCTTGATCACTCAATTTCTATATTATCTTGATACCCTTTACCATAATCACTCAATTTCCATATTATCCTGACACCCTTAAACGTGATCACTTAATTACCATATTATCTTGACACCCTGTACCTTGATCACTCAATTTCCATATTATCTTGACACCCTGTACCTTGATAGCTCAATTTCCATATTATCTTGACACCCTGTACCTTGGTAGCTCAATTTCCATATTATCTCGACACCCTGTACCTTGATCACTCAATTTCCATGTTATCTCGAAACCCTGCACCTTGATCACTCAATTTCCATATTATCCTGACACTCTGTACCTTGATCACTCAATTTCCATATTATCTTGACACCCTGTACTTTGATCACTCAATTTCCATATTATCTTGATATACTGTACCTTGATCACTTAATTATCCTATTATCTTGACACCCTGTACCATAGTCACTCAATTAGCATATTAACTTGACAAGTTGACACCCTGTACCTTGATCACTCAATTTCCATATTACCTTGACACCATTGTACCTTAATCACTCAATTATCCTATTATCTTGACACCCTGTACATTGATCAATTTAATTATTTCCATATTTATTTGAACACTCTGTACCTTGATCTAACATGTAGGTGAGCTAGGCAGCCTAGGTTGACCAGAATAGCTAGAATAAATATTCCAAAGACAATCCCCAGTTGGGAGACACGGAGATGCCATTCTGCAGAGTCCTAGAATATATATTATATAATATAGACAAATATTAAATGTGTGTGTAGATGTTTTGTATAACTAGCGAAGTTTCCAAGGTTAGTCATAGTTGCTCCAGCCTTTTACCCGCGCTTGGCCTTAAATTATGATTTTAGCTGAAATGCCCGGAGTTGCCCGTAGAATTTTACCCAGAGGTTCACTAAAAAATGTCAGGCAATTTGGTCCAGCCGTTTAGCCAGCTAAAGTGAACATATATACAAGGCAAAGCTTTTAACTATATAACTTGTAAAAGTGCATGTACATGTAAAATTGTATAATGTGAGTAAATGTAAATACATGTAAAATTGTTGAATGTTGCTGTACATGAATGGATCATTAATAAGTATTTTCTAAAGTTTTTATTACGCAATACTTCGAGTACTGAACTAGAAAATACTGGATCAAATAAAAATAGTTTTATTTTCCCTTTTCAAACCGTTACATAGTGACGCATTGAGATTTTATCAAAAGTAATACGCATATTTTTGAATAAACTTACAGAAACTATTTTATCATTTTTTTTTTGTAAAAGTGTTAAATATGTAAATTAGTGAAATATAGAAGAGGTGCATAGGATTTAAGTATATAGTCCTATATACCTGTATTTAGAAGAGGTGTATAGGATTAAGTATAAAATTCTATATACCTGTATATAGAAGAGGTGTATAGGATTGAAGTATATAGTCCTATATACCTGTATATAGAAGAGGTGTATAGGATCGAAGTATATAGTCCTATATACCTGTATATAGAAGAGGTGTATAGGATTGAAGTATATAGTCCTGTATACCTGTATATAGAAGAGGTGTATAGGATTGAAGTATATAGTCCCAAGGAAGATGAATGAGAAGAGAATTACTAGAAGAATGGTGTAAACAGTTCGCTGGCGTTGTAGTTTAAGTTCTGCAGCTTTACGGAATACCTAGATATAGCAGAGTGTTTGAGTGTGTACCTGGAGACTGTAGTAGTAGTAGTAGATACTACTCAGTATACCTAGTACTAGGGTAGTACTGAGTAGGATTAGTATCAGATAGAGCAGATTTCTCTGCCTGACCAGTTTATCATCCTTCCTCACATATACCTACGGAAAGTGGGACTGATTCAACAAAATTACGATTTTATCAATTTTTTCTTTCCTGATTTATCAAAAAATTATGGAAGCTCAATTAAAACTTAATGCATGCCTCGCATTTTTTTATTATAAAAATGTCAAGAATACAATTAACTGTTGCTTATTTTATGAGGCCCTCCCTCCATTTAATAATGACAATGTCAGATTCGTAACGTTACCCTTTAAAGCGTTGTATAATCAATTGTATGCAATTGATATCAATTGTATGCAATTGATATCAATTGTTACAATTTTCAAAACCGATTTAACTCAACTGTGGTTTCTCTTCAAAGTGACTCGCGCCAATTCTACTGAAGGGCTCATATAGAAATCATCAGACTCGTAGAAAAACGACAATATCTTCCACATTTCTTATCAGACGTAGGTATCAAGGGTACCATTGCTAATCGGGCTTTACCATCTTTGAATGGAGTGTCATTTGAAACCATTCTTCCAAACCCTTTTAAAGACACTTGAGAAGAACCATGACGTGTATCTTGTATCAAAATTATTAAAAGATTTTTTTTTACTCTGAAAATAGACGTTCAAAAGGATTTGTCCATTGTATATGTAGTAAAATTTTTTATAAGGTAACACAAGCAATTAAAACCTGAAAAAACGACAATAGCTTCCATATCATTGATCAGATAAAGGTCTTAAGGGTACTGTTGTGAATCCCTGCACGGAGGGTTAATTGAAATTACGCTTACAGTCCCTTTAAAATATAATCTTGTTACCTCTGATGATAATGGAATCCTGAACGAATCTCGAACTGATTCTCCTCTGAATAATATCAAATAAGAGATTTAGTAAAAAATAAGCTTTTTTATGCCAAACTAAAGTAAAGTATACGTAGGATGAAAATCTTATTAGTTTTAATCATAACTCATCCTAATAATGAGCTATTAAGAGAAACAAAAATGTTTAAAGTTTCTGATATATAAACGGATAAATTTGCTTCTCATATTTTTGGGTTACATCAAAACTGGGGGAGCTACGAGGTCACAAATCCATACCAGTAATGTTGCGGAAATTTAACCTTCTCCTATCTAGTGTTTTATGTACTGTGAGAGACCAATTTAGATTGATTTCAAACATAGGGTTACTTACAAAAGGATGATTTACTAAATTAAATTAATCTTAAGATCAGCTGAATCTGAGTTTTTGTCGCGCAATTAGTCTAATTAATTAATTAATTAATTAATTAGACTAAGTTCATTAATTTTTGATTTAGCAAGGAAAAGTGTTTACAACTGCAGGCAACTTAAACATTAATAAATCAACTGAAAAAAATATCATTCGTTGTGGGAAACCCTGTCTCAACTGTTCAGTCCGGTTCAATTCAAGAACCGGACCGACAGCTAACCAGCTAGAGCGACTGTACAGTACACATACAAGTTATACCAGGCAAAACGGGACGGTACACCAAATGAACCAGTCCCTTCTCAGGATATTCACGTGGTATTAAGAATGTATCTTTATAGTTCGGGAAAGAAGCCGAAAATATAATCGTGCTCTTTTATTAAAAGATCATTTAATTGAGATTTTATCGAAAGTTGATTCTAGGGGGGGGGGGGTGGAGGGGGTGGAGAAGGGAATTAAGGTTGAGATTTTTGAATCTTTAATTTGCCTGCTTCGTGGTCTAGCCAGCTCCTCATCCGGGAACACGTCACGTGGTGTGTCCAGGGGCGTAGAGATCTCCAATCTTTCAGGACTCATAACTTCCATTCTAGCCCCTTCCAGGGGGTGGGTCGTGTCACCCCTGTGGGGCTCATCATGGTATTCAGGGGCATCTTTTGGAGAGTTCAATGGAATTGGGGTGAATCCTTGTTTTTCTACAGACACCATTCTAAAACATGATATTATTAATATTTTTACTTAAACGAGAATCAATGACTTATATCACTCACAATAATTTCACCATGGTATAATTGAGAATATCATTTATTCTAGTGCATCCAGGGAAAATAATTAACAAGAAAGAATTTGCTAATGAAAAAAAATCAAGACATGAAAAAAACTTTCTATTCATGAAAGATTCTTTTTATTCTAATTAACTTGATAAAAATAAACAAAATATGCACGAAAAAAGTATAAGGTGTGATACATACAATTCAATCCATAAAGTTAATTCAAGTTATGCTTTGTATTTGCTCACATAGCTCAGAAACAGAATTTAATAAGAAATAAAAATGTAAATATTATTTAAACATGAAATTTTTTAATTACCTTGCAAATATCAGGAATTGAAGTGTAGAGATATTTATCAAGACAACGATTAACCGAATGAATTTATCAGGGTGTACTGGCCAACTGATTACAACTTAACCCTAACGTCTGCAAAGAAAGAACCCCCCCCCCAGGGCCCTCCTTCTTCCTAAACACACCTTCATCGCTACCTGGGCGACCTGGGCTGAAAACTGCCGGTCAAGTTACCGCGCAATAATTCAACCCTCGTCAAGAAACAGGATTTACAAAATATTATCAAATAAAAATCTGATTTTTAAAATATGATATAACCGTGATAATTGTCTACTCTTATTTATTAAACAAAAATCGGAAATATTTGGGAAAAGAGATAAGTTTTAACCAATACGTAATTTTAGCTGAAACTTTGATCCTACATTTTTAAAGGGTTTGTCTGAGGAAGGGGTGGGGGGGGGGGGATTGGAATTCGTATAAAAAATATAAGAAAGGGATGCAAATCTTATAATTTAGGGTTATTCACAAAGGATGATACTTTAATAACGACCTGAAACTCTTTAAACTATCAAACTTAAGGTCATAATCCGATTTTTTTTCTTGTAAATCTTAATAAATAGATTTTGAAAATATAATGAAATGATTAAAAGCAGAAATGTAGATTTTCTTTTGAAATATTCTTGTATGGTATTAAATTTTGTTTCCAGGCTTTATTTAAACTTCTTTAGAAATGTATCTATTTATTTTACTTAAGGTTATTGAGAACATTTTCCACAACAGTTTAAAATTGCATGAGCTTGCATTTTTAGTTGCACGATTTAAAAAAAATGTTATTCTTGTAGCACTGGTTGTTACTTTATTTTTATCTTTAGTTTGACGAAAAAACTCTAATTTTAACAGGTTCCTGAAAAATTGTCTGACTTGTCAGAGTTTTGTTAAAATTCAGTTATTATAATATTTATTCATGTTTTGAGCCAAGGAAGGGAAAGTCTGGCTTGGTGGTCTCCTCGTCTTAAATTGCGGTGAGGGGAGGGGGGTTCATGTTGGAACATAGAGGGGAGGGGATTCATGTTGTGACTTAGAGGGGAGGGGGTTCATGTTGGAACATAGAGGGGAGGGGATTCATGTTGGAACATGGAGGGTGATAAGATAGGATAGGACGAGTTAGAAGATAGGACGGTGAAGAGGACAGAAGATAGGATAGGACGAGTTAGAAGAGAGGACGGTGGAGAGGACAGGGGGATAAGATAGGATAGGACGAGTTAGAAGAGAGGACGGTGGAGAGGACAGGGTGAGAATAAGACGGATAATAAGACAGGTTTTAGAATACATCATGAGAGAATATAAAACAGAACCTGAAAAATCTGAAAGAAGTTTAATGTCGAGACCCCCTGGTTTAAAATTAGCATGCCAGAGTAATAACATTTTTCGAGATTATGAATAAATTGTAGTTCATGATTCTTCAGTTCAACGTCTATAGGCGTAAAATTAAATACGTTTGTTGTGAAAACGTGATACCAACATTGTAAAACATTTCTTTAACAAATTATTTACCGATGAAGTGAAGAAATCCTATTTTTTGTGGAGAGCAAAGGAAGGATTTTTTACAAAAATGTATCATTCAATATATTGGAGAAACAGGAAGGAGATTAGCTGATAGGTTTAGAGAACATATAGGTTATGTAAAAAGTGCTAATTTGACACAACCTACTGGAAATCATTTCAACCTTCCAGGACATACACTATCAAATATGAAAGTTACAGTTCATGAAAAATGAAAAGAAAACAATCCAACATATCGGAAGATCAGAGAATCATATTTTATCAACCAATTTAACACAACAGCAAAAGGTCTAAACAAAAAAAGATGATACAACTTTCTGTTGTGGCTTTAGTGTGGTTGTTTTCTGTTTTACTAATTTAGTCTTTGTTGTTGTTCTATAGTTGTTTTTCTTATATGCTAATTGCAATGTTTAAAAAAAAAATAAACATACATGGCCACAAACTCAAAACTCGGATTTTCGTATCTGTGTCGGTCAACCTATTCTCCTAACCCCTTTTCCCCCCCCACCCATCCCCCAACCCTTAATTCAATGAACATTTCTTTCAGTTTTGACAATACCACCATTCTTTAAGGTTGACCATAATTTTTACACTTTTCATTTTTTTTCATTTCACTTCAAAAAAACCCCCTCCCCTAATTTGATTACTTTTTTTATAAATTTCCAGAAAGTATTTGTTACATTTTCTTTATTTTTAATTTGTAATAATTTTGGTCATTTTCTATAGGATATAAAAAATATAGAAATTAATTTCCAAACCCGAGTTTTTCTACCTGTGAGAGTGAAACCTTTTTTGCCAGTTTGGACAATTTAATTGTATCATTCTTGAGGAGGTTTGTTTGTCTGTTTGTCTGTTTGTCTGTTTGTATGTCATAACTCATGAATCCCTGGACCATTTTATCTCAAATTTTGATTGGAAAACTCGCTAATGGGAATGTTTCAAAATTAACAAGGAAAACTATTTAATTGTCAACCTGTATTAAACTTATTCAATAATCCGCAAAAACCAAACTTTTTTATCCCAGCTTAAACAATCCTCTCACAACATATTAATGTTTCGGTTGGACATGTATCGGCCCTTGGTCCAGCTTTTTATCCCAGCTTAAACAATCCTCTCACAACATATTAATGTTTCGGTTGGACATGTATCGGCCCTTGGTCCAGCTTTTTTGGAACTCGTGCATGTTTTGAAGGAATTAAGCTGTTTGGCTGACATTGAAGTTTTTTACCATTTCAATCTTGTTTTAATCTTCTCTAAAGTTTTTGTGGTCAGTAAAAATATCAGAGAAAATTTGGAAATTACTTTTTCGTATTAAATGGATTTTCTCTGAGTTTGGAAGGTTAAAAATAATCTTATTATACAGGGTGTTCCACTAAACATTTTAATTCAGTGACGAATTCGATATCGTCTTTTTTAAATAATTCTTTGATTTAGTAATCCGTAAGATTTTCGTCTGCTATGTTTACAATTTGTTTGTTTATGTTTTGACTGCATACGGTTGTACTTAGTAAAACAAGAAAACTAAAGTATACAAACAAGGTAAACTTGTCCGTCTTCACTGTTCATCTTGCGGAGACATTATAGACACATCTTTACAGCCATTTACCGTTTTCATTAAATAAACTCTAGCAGACCTAATAATATTATGGTTTTAGAAATTAGGTATTACAATGCATAATTCATAACAAAGACGATATCGAATTCGTCACTGAATTCCCATGTTTATTTGGACACCCTGTATAAGAAATATATGTAGCTGTTTGGTGTTTTGGTCCTTGGTTGCTGGATAGTGATTTATAGTCCTTGGTTGCTGTATAGTGGTTTATAGTCCTTGGTTACTGGATAGTGGTTTATAGTCATTGGTTGCTGGATAGTGGTTCATATCACTCGGTTGCTGGATAGGGGTTTATAGTCCTTGGTTGCTGGATAGTGCTTAATATCATTTCGGTTGCTGGATAGTGGTTTATAGTCCTTGGTTGCTGGATAGTGGTTTATATCATGTCGGTTGCTGGATAGTGGTTTATATCATGTCAGTTGCTGGATAGGGGTTTATATCACTCGGTTGCTGGATAGGGGTTTATATTCCTTGGTTGATGAATAGTTGTTTATAGTCTTTGGTTGCTGTATTGTAAATTATAGTCCTTTGTTGCTGGATAGAGGTTTATATTCCTTGGTTGCTGGATAGTGGTTTCTAGTCCTTGGTTGCTGTATTGTAATTTATAGTCCTTTGTTGCTGGATAGAGGTTTATATTCTTTGGTTGCTGTATAGTAGTTTATAATCATTGGTTGCTGGATAAGGATTTATATTCCTTAGTTTCTGGATAATAGTTTATAGTCCTCATGGTTGCTGGATAGTGGTTTATATCACTCGGTTGCTGGATAGTGGTTTATATCACTCGGTTGCTGAATAGGGGTTCATATTCTTTGGTTGCTGGATAGGGGTTTATATTCCTTGGTTGCTGGATAGTGGTTTATATCATTCGGTTGCTGGATAGGGGTTTATATCACTCGGTTGCTGAATAGGGGTTTATATTCCTTGGTTGCTGGATAGTTGTTTATATTCCTTGGTTACTGAATAGTCTTTATATAGTCTTTGGTTGCTGTATTGTAATTTATAGTCCTTGGTTGCTGTATAGTAGTTTATAGTCCTTGGTTTATGTTTAGTTGAAAGTAGCCTGGTGGGTCTAAGTTCTTGTTTAAACAACTTATTCAAGAATGAAAACGGAGTGGATCGAAGACGATTTTAAAGTTATCAATAAATTACCATGTTCATTAGCCCACCCTGTATTACTCTAGTTGTTTGTATCTGAACCCTAGATTGTTCAGCCAGGCTGAACCTGTGTAAGTTCTACAGGTGTTATCTGATATTTTTAAATTAGTTTTTTTATAAAAATATAATTAAGCTTGGTTTATTAGAAAGTTTCAAATCAATTTAAACAATCTCTAAATTCATACTTTTATCTGATACGAATACCAACTCAATTTATTGTCAGTAAACTTCAGAATTGAGTCTTTGCAACAAACTCTGATTTTATAATGTCTATATCTTTGCAACCCAATTTCGTAGACCTTAGATATTTCAGGTTATAAATTTTGTTGGAACAAATAATTATAGGATTGAAATATCAAAGGTTTACACCATCAGATTACAAAGATTTATGGGGTTAGAAAATTTGAAAACTCAATTCCTTTCCAAATTTCTCAGATACGAATACCATCTGAATACATTGTCAGTATTCTTCAGAATTGAGTCTTTGCCACAAATTCTGATTCCTATATCTTTGCAATCCAATGTCGTACACCTTAGATATTTCAATTTATAAATTCTGTTGGATCAAAAAAGATTGAAAAATCAAAGGTTTACACCATCAGATTACAAAGATATATGGGTTTAGGAACTTAGAGTTTGTGGCAAAAACTCAATGTCCTTCCACTTTTATCAGATACGAATACCAACTGAATACATTGTCAAGAAACGTCAGAAAAAAATTGAAATTACGAAAAGTTGGGAAAAGACATATTGTACAAGGGGCCTGCAAATATATTAACGTACATAAAGAATGCGCTATTTTCCAAAAGTCAAACATAAAAACTTGTCTAATTATATTCTTTGAGTTTGAATAACCCTATAATCTGTTTAATATGATTTTAGAAAAATTGAACAGAGTGTAAAGAAAAACTGGTTTTTAAAACTTCACACACATGCAGAACTTATTATGGTAACTTAAATACAAAAATAAACAAAGTAAATAATCAAAAGTTCAATTTTGATTAAATACTTTCCAAATTTACCAATTCTGATCCAAATGAATGTGTACTACATTATTTAATTCAATTTGTCAAATCTCCAATCTAGCAGAATAAATATGTAGATTCTAAATTTAAAAGTAACGTTTGATGTTTTTGCATTTACCATTTCTTTTACTTTTAAATTTACAATGTATCTACATATTCGAATATCATATTTTACTAGTTATCCCAATTTTGATTGTTTGATTTTAAATGCTAGCTCGGGAACCCAGATTTGCCTTAAAAAGTCAACCTACTCTACTCTAAATTCTAAAACTAGGCTATAAGAACATCCCCGTGGTTCTACTAAGTTGCCCAATACAAGTGTTAGGCAAATGTCTTTTGATCAGACATCCTAACAGAGATGAAATACTACTATACATATATATAAGAGTATGGCTTGTAATACGAAATTATTCACTATTGGCAAAAATAAAACATGATATTTTAACAAAAGTGAAAAGACACGAAAATATTTATTTTCATTTTTGATTGATTGTTTTCATAACGTTCTGTATAACATTTAGTTTTAGACGAAAAATTCAATATCGGAAATTTAACTTTAAACATTCTAACATTTTTTTGTTAAATTTCCACCGATCGCATAGCAGTTTCTGAAAATAAATATAAATACATAAAAATAAATTTATAAATATATTTAGTTTCTGAAGGTTTCAATTAAAAGATATTTGATAAATGTGTACTGTAAGTGGTGCAACGATGAACCCGTGGGAAACCTTTAAAATATTTAAAAAGAGAGTTTTTTATTGATAACATATTTTTGTGTGTGTACAAAACTTAATAATAAAGCTTTCAACAAAAACTGTTTTGGAGATATGTACATATATTTTTTTGATCAGTTTCATAATTTTTTTTTCATTATATGTGACAACCCAAAATTTGAACAAATTATTACAAAAATATTCTATAATTAGAACCCAAAAGGATCCCGTGAAATTAAGCCAACAGTCCTTTTGATAGAGATGGGCGTGTTAGGCATTTTTACATTTTATTCCTTCATCGTTCGTTAATGACTCATTTCGGTTGGTCTTTTTCTTTTGTTAAAAGCATTTATTACGTACTTTCGCAAAAATATCTTTCGTTTTTATCTATTTTGTTCGTTTTTTCGGTGAACGTTCATTAAAATCGTTTGTTCATTTAAATCGTTTGTTCATTAAAGTTTTTCGTTCAGTAAAGTTGTTCGTTCAATAAAATTCGTTCGTTCTGAAAAAAACCAACGTTTGGTTACATACGAACGATTTATACCGTTCGTTGTAAAAATAAATCGCTTCTTTATTTCTCAGAACAATTCAAACCATTTGTTTTGTTTTCTGAACCCCACCATCATTTACAAAAAATGTCGTTCGTTTATACAAAAACGATGCCCATTTCTACCCTTTCTCGAAATTTAAGCACGTCCGTCCTGCATGAAGATGAAACGCTTTCTACCAGCTAAAATGATTTCTGACCTAATGACAGAGGTTAAAAGGGTAAAAACATGTATCATCTTTTAATACATGCATGTCTATAGCTACATACGTAACATTGTGTTCATAGATAAATATGTATATATATATATATATTTACAATTACAATATCCTGGTCAATAGTTAGTAAAGCGAAACCATAAAATCCTGTCGCAAAAACGTGCAATCTCTGTCTGATGGAAAAAACTTGTATATTGTTATCTGAGGATGCAAACCTATTGAATAAAAGAAGCGAAGTAATGAACAAATGCAGGCTCCGAGAGAAATTCTTACTTAGTAAATGTTACAAGACCTGAGGAGAAGTAAACAAGAGAAGAAACTTATGAACTGCCATTTCAAGAAGATTTTTTTTTTCAAACAGATTTTTTCCAAAAAGATTTTTTTTAGTAAAAAAATATGTATCATTTTAAATGTGTAAAACAATTTTTATCATATTCTGCAAAAATCCGTAAAATCATTGTAAAAAATGCTCCCGTATCAGTTTTATTCCAACTGATGATTGGGTTAGACCCATGAAACATTTTGTCTTGGAAGAAATATATATTTAAACATCTAAAATGTATATTTAAACTGAAAAAGTTGAAAATTATCTTTTCTGTCTGAAGAAAATTTAAAGAGATATTTTACAAGTAATTCTTTTTGCGTGCAATTTCGAACGTGTGGGGTATGATATATTTATTTCTATAGATTTAAAATTGATTGATAACATCAAAAGTTTTTTATAAGAGTCCAAACTGACGCGACCAATTTAGACTTCTATAGAAAAAACCATATATCATAATTATATAGTTTCAAGTTTCCACATACCTTTGAAGAATGGGTTACGGTTTGAATGAAAAATAGAAAGTTGGAAAATATACTAAAACGCCAGATTTTACTCACCACATTACTCAATTCTGCGACTTGTCCGTCAGAAATATTGGTTAAATCTAGTTTTAAAGCATTGAATCTCATCTTTAAACTAAGTAAACTATGTAACCTTTACTACTTTTTACAGTCAAATATCACTGAAAGCATTTTTTTTAGACAGGGTTCTTCTAGAATTTACCTGGGTTCGGGCAGGAGACTGCGGGGCTCATAGCCACATGTCCCCCATCCCGCCCTTATTACATTAGGCCTTTGATTTTGAAAAATTATAAGTAATAAATTTTGACCCCGTCTGTAGTGTATAGTGCACGCAATATTCATTGTTCAGACGCGTAACGGAGAAACAAAATACAATAAAACAAAAATACAATAAACAAAAATACAATAAACAAAAATACAATAAACAAGAATACAATAAAACAAAAAATGCAATAAAACAAAAATACAATAAAACAAAAATACAATAAAACAAAAATACAAAAAAAATAAAAATACAATAAAACAAAAATACAATAAACAAAAATACAATAAACAAAAATACAATAAAACAAAAATACAATAAACAAAAATACAATAAACAAAAATACAATAAAACAAAAATACAATAAAACAAAAATACAATAAAACAAAAAAACAATAAAACAAAAATACATTAAACAAAAATACAATAAAACAAAAATACAATAAAACAAAAAAATAGAACAAAAAAAAATAAAACAAAAATACAAAAATACAATAAAACAAAAATACAATAAAACAAAAANGTTCAAATATGAATTTGAATTGTCTAGGTTTCAGTAATCTGGTTCAGATATGAATTTGAATTGTCTAGGTTTCTGTAATCTGGTTCAAATATGAATTCTAATTGGATTCATAATCATATTCATACCCCGGTAATTCCAGAGTGTTGAGTCCGTAACATTTCAGTCGTCGCCTGGTTCTCCAGGGGGTAGGATGTACACTCGGATTTCAGGGCGCAACGAGATATTTCGACTGTGAATTGCTCGGCACCCTAAACTATGAATAAAAGGAAGGGTTTCATGATAACAATTAGTTTTAGTTTTATGCATTACTCAAAAAAGCAGAAATATATTTTTTTGTTGCAAAAGTCAATTCTAAATTCTAAATTCCAATCATGAAATAATAGTTAAGATTAGGTAGAAGATGAAGATAACATATTTAATTTTCATCACTCTCCTGTCCTTTTCGAGGGGAGGGGATCTTCGTTTCAGCGAGGGAGTAAGGGGAGGAGTTGGTCGACTAAACGAGGGGTTGAGGGGAGAAGTTGGTCAACTGAACGAGGGAGATGGAGGAAAAGTTGGTCAACTGAACGAGGGAGTGAGGGGAGTTTATGATGAGCTGAACGGGGGAGTGAGGGGAGTTTATGATGAGCTGAACGAGGGAGTGAGGGGAGTATATGATGAGCTGAACGAGGGATAGATTTAACACCTCATAAACCTGATACTCTATCCCACTCCGCGGTCATTGTTTGTAGTTTAAAAGTATTCTAAGAATTCTCGCCTAACCAAAATGGTTTTTGCCGAATCTACTTTGCTATTTGTTTGCACAGTAGTGGTCGTAGTTTCTGGTTTATCGTTCTTATTTTAGTTAGAATTTAGATTCATCTTCTCTTCGCAGAAAAATTTTTGATAATTTAGCAAACAAAATTCAATATTTTCAAGAAGAAGAGATGTTTTAACGTTACTTTTTAGAGGATGGAATGTTTTGGAGATTCGTTTTTTAAATATTCAAGGTTGGTTTTCTGTTCAAGGCTTCGCAAGATCTTTGTCTCGATAAGTTTATTTTTATTACATTATACAACAATTTCACTTTGACCAAAGATTTCAAACAAAAACGATCCAGAGCGATTGGTAAAATAGTTATTTGGATATAAAAGTTTTGGGTAAAGAATTTCTTTACATAATAAAGAAAAAGCAAAACTATAGAAAATTAGATTTTGCTATACAGTAATCTTTCCAGGAGGGGGGGGGGGGCTTAACCGTAGTGTATGAATTAGATATCAAACTGATTATTTTTCAACTGTTTTTTCTCTCTACAAAAATGATATGCGCAAAAAGGAAAAGGAATTATAAGAATTAAACACTTTTAAAACAATATCTGCCACATTATTGATCAGCTAAAGGTTTCAAGTTTACCATTTTGAATCGGACATTGTCATTTTTGTACGGAGGATCACATCAAACTACGCTTACAGTCCCTTTAATAAGTCTGATTTGCGAGGTGTTATATCTGGGAATTAATGAGGTTGATGATGTATGTGATGAGGAGGAATGTGTGGAGGAAGAGGAGGAGGAGTGCGGACTCTGCCACTCTATCTATATGAGGGAGTGTGATATTAAGATGGAGTATAAATACACTCCAGTCAAGGAAAAAACCAAACAATGGAAAAAATTATTTTACCAACATTTTTTAACCAAACAAGATATCTGCAAAACTAACCCCAATCTACTCAAACTGATTATTTACAATGCTATTTATTCCATTCTCCTTGTTATCCTCCATTCTTCAATTGATCATCTACCTTCTCTTGTTATCTACCATCCTCTAACCTTCCATTGATCATCTATCTTCTCCTTGTTATCTACCATCCTCCAACCTTCCATTGATTATCTATCTTCTCCTTGTTATCTACCATCCTCCAACCTTCCATTGATTATCTATCTTCTCCTTGTTATCTACAATCTTCCAACATTTTTTTCCTCAAAACAAATCAAACAATCTTAAATTGCAAATCTGAAAATCTTTAATTTCTGTGTTTATGAACTTTTAAGTACAGAATTTTCCCATCAGTCAATACGCAACTATTTTTTTTAGAATTTACACAGAAGTTTGAACTTTTATATTAATTTTGGGATCAAGCATTAATCTCCATTTTATGCAGATCTATACTGACTAATTTACTTCCTCTTCGATATCCTGTGATCGTCATAACCTGCAGAGATAACCAGACAACTCTGAAATAGGAAGACGACTTTTAAAATCAAGATAATACTTTAAAAAGTCAGAGTGTCCATATTTGATATCGATATCAAGCGTCCAAGATTTAATATATCCACACTAAAGTTCCTATCTCAGAGGAAGCTAATGTTTAATATTTATTTGGTTTGGTTTGGTTTGACTAGGTAGAGGAGTGTCGTGAGACGACCTGCAGTAAGCTAGGGTACACTAGAACTTGTACAACTAAGCACTACACAGAGTGCTCTACAGATGTACAGTACAACGAGATGGAAGAGGATCATCCTGTTTGTAATATAGAGAAACAGGTTATTCATAATTGATAATAATCTATACATCGTACATTCCTTGGACGAATCTATAGTTTACATTTTACGCTGCACTAATATGAGAAAAGTATAACGTTATCCGGTTGCATATCTTAGTAATTCAAAACATTTCTGCTCTTCTTTTCTTTAGATTTGATTTTAATTGAAAACAAATAAGAAGAGTTCAATGTTACGTACAATTTACTCAAGAATAATATGATTCAAGCTGATTTTTTATCTCTTTTTATGCGATGGGGGGGGGGGGCACTAATTATCCAATTATACCACATCATCTAATCTTATTTACATAATTTTATTCATGCAAAAGTTCAATATCTAAATTTGAGAAAGCATTATCTGAAACTGAACCCTGTGCACACAATTATGAACAATATCTTATTAAAATCTTTATTTAATAATTTATTTTTCATCATTCATTTCTAACATTTTTGGGATAAAAAAGAGTTTTCAATGGTTGTTATATGTCAGCCATAATAAATTTGACTTATTAAAGGGACTATGGTATGATTTTTAAGAACCCTAGCTCTATATAAAGAGTTTGATTCCCAACTCACAACGGTTCCCTTTGAACCATTGTCTGATGAGCTAAAATGTTGAGATATACCAAAGGTGGGAACAGAGAAATTAACCAATTAAACATGACGTCACAAGTGTTAAATATAACAAGGAAAACAGCGTTTTCTCTCATCAGTTGACATGTTTTCTAAGATTAAATAAAAAAGTGTAAAAACAGAAAATAATGAACACAAAATCACTTTAAGATAAGCAAGTAAGAATACAGCTGTACTGAGAGTGTACAAATTCTACGTTGCCATCTATTGTACTTAATAATCTATTTGAGATATCCTGGTTTTTTCTTTCTGAAAATTGATTATTTAAAATATTGGTCTCTACAGAAAAACAACTTTCGCATTTATGCGTCAGCGACAAGGAAGATAAAAAGACGATGTGACTGAGACAAAGGTTTACATGGTACCGTTGTTAATTTGACATGTAACTCTAGAAATGGAGGACTACTTAAACATTACGTTTATAGTTCTCGGGTGTACTACAAGAGCGCCATATTATGTTATCTTCATAGCTTTAACACCAGGATACGTGCAGGGCAGAAAGTAACCTAAGTTTTTCTACTATTTATACCTCTGAGCACTCTTTTAAAATAAATTATTTAAAAAATGGTTACTTACCAAAAATTATTAATTCTGTTAATAAAATGAATTTAAAGATTTTTTAAAGTATCATAATTATTTATGTTATCAGGAGCGATGTACAGAGTACGGATGCCGGAAGGTTCCAGTAATGAAGTGCAGGATAGAGAAGAGGAAGGTTAGGAAGGGTAAACCCTCCACCTCCTGCAGGAGGATCCCCAGGCAGGAGTGCAGGAAGGAGAAGTGTGAGAGAAGGAAGTGCTATGAAAGGGTGAAGATGCAGAAGGACGTTTACCCGCGTGAGGAGTGTGGATACAAGGAGAGACGAGTGTGTCATCATACAGAGAATCAGAACTGCAGGATCATTAAGAGGACACACTGTAAACCATCATCTAAACCTTGCAGACAAACAAACAGTGGAACAGACACACTTGGGTTTCCTGACACACTAACACTCAACTCTGCAGACGAACAAACACTAAATTCAGTGGACGTACACACATCAAGCTTTGAACAATATACACCAAGTTATGCAGCCCAAACCTCTAAACCTAAACCTAATCCTATTTTTAAACCGTTTGCTTCTACCCCCTGAACCTACCAGGTTTACTATAAAAATATATAAAAATGTAACACTTAGAATCCAAAAAAGAAGAAAAGAAGTTACCCTGCAACACTCTTCACAACATTGCTTATTCTAATTAACAGATATACTATACAATTTGCGTTTTTAAGCAAAAAATAAAATTTTATTTGAATTTTGTTTATTTATGTTCAGAATAGTAGAAACCAAACAAAATTAAATATAAAAAACCTGAAGTCAATGAAATTCTCAATAAACTAAAGACTATTTTATTTCTAATCTTTTTAATCAGCTAAAGTCTAAGATCGTCAAAACAACAGCGATTGTATTCAGCTTTATTTTGGGTACTACTGTATCCAAGAATATAAAGAACGTATAAAGAAAGTATAAAGAACAAGATAAAGAATTTTTAAAAATATTTTAATATCTTTTTATTAAAAATCATAAGTTGCCAACAGTCCCAAACTATATCAAAGAAAATTGGATATTTAAGACTGAAATTAATGCAGTATTTACCTTCCAACTGTTCATCATTTAACAGACCATATGTTCCAGTTTACTCTACCTAATCCCTGTAATTAACAAAACGTCTACCTCTAATTAAATCAATAGAAGGTTATTTAGGTTTAATGAGAATATTGTAAAGAAAGGGTGAAAAATGCAAAAAGTATGAAGTCTATAAGACGAAATTGATGACTTACCTTTGCTGTCAGATGTCCACGTTACATAATGTGTAAAACGTCAAGACTAAATAAAAAATTAACAAAAAAAGCTCCAAGCTCTGGTTGTATATAAAGTCTGTACGTTTATTTCCGTTAGTTCTCTTTCATAACTTTTTAATTATAATAATCAAAACTTCCGACTCAAAACATACTATACGATTATTGTTATAAACTTTTTTTTAAGATGGTTCCACGAAATTAAAGGGACTGTAAACGTAATTTTAAGTGACCTTCATGTCCGATTCAAAATAATAACTTTTAAACCTTTATCTGATCACAAAAAGGAAGATATCGATTTTCTATCAGGAAAATTGTTGAATTCTGACAATCTTCTCCAATTCCACTGAAGCATGAAACCGCAAATCACTATTAAAGAGGAACCACAAAAAAATATTTAATTGAATGTTGGAAAATCATCGATCAAATTACGTTTAAAAAATAGTTTAATGGTAATATTTTATCTCCAATTTAAAAAAAGAAAATGATCCAAAAATTATTTCAACTTTCATGTTTATGATTACATTTCCCTGGACTTACTTTCTTCCGCCTTTTCTTAGTTCAACCAAACACTGACCGTTTCCTCCTTGTCCCCTATTTTATTCATATACCCCGCCCTTCTAAATTAAAAAGTGTCAAAAAAAAATTAAAATAACTAAAACTAATGATTTCATGAAATGTTGGAGGTGGAGGAAGATGTATATAAAAGATTTAAAGATAATTGTATATAAAGATTTCCAGAGGAGGGATATCGCTGACCTGGACTAAAGGAGAAAAATGGTTTAAAAATCTTAAGAAAGAGAAACTACAGAAAATACTTAAAAATAAATCATTTTAAAAGTTTTATAAAGTTTGTTTTGTTTTCCTGGAAAATGATTAAAAGTCTCAAGAAAACGAAAACAGAAAATTCTATTAAATAAAATATTTGAAATTTTATTTTACAATTTTTTTTCCTTTTTTCAACAGAAAGAGAGGGGGGGGGGGAGATTATATCGCATTTCTGGCAAATGAGGAAAACGGTTTGTAAAGAAATTATACAGAGAAAAAGTTTTGTCAAAATTTATGTCAAAAGTTTTTATAAGTTTTGTTTTCCTATCTAAAGTAACCGTGAATTAAATAGTTTTTTTCCGTTTATGTTCAGTTTATTCTTAAAATAATTAAATATTAAAGATTTATTTAAAATTCAAGTATTTTTCCATAACCTCTCAACCATAACATCTGAATTTTAAATAAAATACGCGACTGATTGCCAAAAAATGTAAGTTTTTAATTTTTAAAATTACATATTAATAATATTTCTCTTATACATTTTTTAATCATCTTTTAGAGATTTTTTTTTGTCCCCAGGACATAATCGGGTTGTTACGATCAAAGCTCGGAATTTTTCTATTGCGAAAGTTTGGTGATATAACTGGAATGAGGCTCGTGTGCCTCACAGACAGGAAACATCACACTCATTGCTACCAATCATCTGTAAGTCCAGATTAGTACCTCCAGTAGTACCATGGGAACCATGGACCTTCCCTGCTTGTCCGCCTTTCCCTTCTTCATTATCTTTTACTTGGATCAATCCATTTAAAGCTTCTTTCTTGTTGAGTAGAAATTATGCACCCTTACGCTGCTAGAGATGTTGACAGCCGCCCCTCTGTCCTCCTTCATCCGTCAGGTGGATATTACTGCTTAACCAGATGTTGGCCTCAGATGATTTTGAAACCATAGGTTTGTGATAAGTGCTAAGATAACTATCAACTATCAACTTTCAATTAGCTATCAACTATCAACTATCAACTATCAACTATCAACTATCAACTATCAACTATCAACTATCAACTATCAACTATCAACTATCAACTATCAACTTTCAACTATCAACTATTAACTATCAAATATCAACTATATTATCAACTATCAACTACCCACTATCAACTATCAACTATCAACTATCAACTATCAAATATCAACTATCAACTATTCCTATGCAGGTTTAAGTACATACTACGTTGCACATTGCAGATTGCAGAGTATATAATGTACCCCCCCCCCCCCTATCTTGTATACATGATAGTGAACACGTCAAAATTAGTGTGAAGAATGTTTTTGCAGTGTGGCGTATTGTTGGTCGGCAGCTAGATTAGGATCAAGGACAATCAAAATAAGGAATTACAAAATAATTAAAAAATGTCATTCTACAAATTAATTATTTTTTAACAAACAAATAAATGTTTTACATACATCAGAGCCCGCGATTTAAAAACTTCGGCTCGAGTCGTAATTACTTAAACACCTCTGACGACAGCTTGTGTCACGTGATTGACAACTGCAAGATCTTCGGCTCAACTTAAGGAGTTCAGCCCAATGAAAATAAAACCGACCTTGGTTGGTTTTAGTGGAGAATAAGTCTTAATGTTGAGTTCTTGTTCTCATAAAAACCCGGAATGTACCAATTCCTACCATAAAAATCCGCCAAATAGAATATTAAACCGGTTTTTTGAACTCAACTCTTTGGAAAATAAGGCAGCTTGAATCCGAAAGCTTAAGCCGTAAATAAGGCCCAACGACAGCTTAGACCTGAGTCGTATTTTGCCAAATTTATTAAATCGCGGGCTCTGGATATTTTAAATCCTTTGTGAAAGATCCTTGGTTGGGTTGGATGGGGGGGGGGGGAATATGAAGAAACAGTTTAGAAATCATTAATCAAGATTAGTGCAGGTAGAGTATGTATGATGTAGCAAGCAAGGAGCGTGCTTACAGATCAATTTTACACTCAAACTTTGCACATTCAGTTGGACTTCAAAGCAACCCTCCATTTATAGACTGGTATGTTCGACTCACAGCGATACCTTTTAAACATCTCTCAACAAGTTGATCAATTTTTATTTTTTTGCTCTATAAAAGTGATTTGTTGATGTAAGCTAAAAGGACAATAACAAAATTGCCGAATTTAAAATTTTTAAGACTGAAAAATTACGAATTGTTCCTTATTTTTTTTTTGGTGAAATAAAAAACATTTTGAATTTTCCCTTTTTTAGAACTTTCAGATTTTCAGATTTTTAGACACATCACAACTTGTTATTTTTTATACAAAAAGAAAGTAAAATTTAAATTTTAAATTTGTCAAGCACAAAAAACTAATATATATCATCATTGCTCTCGAATAGGGTAACAAGGGTACTGTTGTGATTAGGGTATGTCCGTCTTCAAATGGAATAATTGAAACAATAACTGTCTCTTTAATAGAAATACTAAAAAGTTTAATAAGCATGAGACATAGAAATGGTTGAGTGAAAACAGGCCCCTTTCACTTTTTATTAGTGATTTAATAAGTGAATAAACTATTTGCTGTGTTATGTGTAACATCATCAAATGCACTCAAGCTATGATATAATGTCGTCTTCCTATTCCATTGTTTTCTGGTTATCACCGTACAATCAGTTTTGTGTAAATTCTTTAAATTTTCATTTTGCAACGAATAGCGTTTATTATGAAATAAAAATGTCGCTCCAACTTAAAATTTCCCCTGTGTGACTTCTTTTTACAATTTAAACTCTAAGTGACAATATTGCAGTCCTAAATACGAAAGACCTGACAGCAGTATAATTAAGTAATTGAGTCTCTACCACTAACTCAAATTTTCTAATCCTTATACCATTGCAACCTGATGATGTAAACCTTTGATATTTCAAAATTAAATTAACTGGTCTAATAGAATTCATACTTTGAAATATCTAAGGTCTACAACATTTACTTGTAAAGATTAGAAAATCAGTGCTTATGGCTAAATTCCTTTTGCTTCAAATACTAATATTTTAATGCGAGAACATTCCAAAAATTAAAATATGTCTCCCCAGTCGCGTATAGGTAATAATCAAGGTATATAATAATATTAAAATATATCTCTAGTCACGTATAGGTAATAATCCAGGTATATAATAATATTAAAATTTATCTCCAGTCGCGTATACGGTATAAGTAATAATCCAGGTATATAATAATAATAAAATATATCTCCTGTCGCGTATAGGTAATAATCAAGGTATATAGTAATATTAAAATATGTCTCCGGTCGCGTATAGGTAATAATCAAGGTATATAATAATATTAAAATATATCTCTAGTCACGTATAGGTAATAATCAAGGTATATAATAATATTAAAATATGTCTCCGGTCGCGTATAGGTAATAATCAAGGTATATTGTAATATTAAAATATGTCTCCGGTCGCGTATAGGTAATAATCAAGGTATATAGTAATATTAAAATATGTCTCCGGTCGCGTATAGGTAATAATCAAGGTATATAGTAATATTAAAATAGCAATAATTTCTTTCCTCATCCTTAAACTTTCTATTCCGTAGATATATCTTGTATCTAATCCATAGATATATCCTGTATCTAATCCCTAGATATATCCTGTATCTAATCCGTAGATAAATCCTGTATCTAATCCGTAGATAT